GAGTCTGTGTATTGCACCTTCATGTGGGAAGAGCTTCAGAGAGTACATGAGTGTCAGGAGCTCCCCACACGGCTGCTGCAATTACGGCACTGGCTGAAAACAGAGCCCCTTTGTGGTGTGAACACAAACAGCAAAAAGCTGGCACTGCTTTGGCACTGCTTTTGGAATTTTATAGCTTAATGGAAAAGAATGGGAGAAAGGGAATACTTGTGTTTTCACTTTACAGAGAATCACAATAGTTTGAGACTTGGGCTTTAATTCACAGAGGCACTTAATTATTTAGGTGCCTGATTTCCATGCAAATCTTTGAGAATTAGGTATTTCGGATGTGAACATCAGTGAACTCACCCAGAGACTCACGGAAAGGGAGCATGTACTTTCTGGTGCCTACAGTCAAATGCCATCACTGTCTATCAGAAGCAGGCAGATTGCTTCCCTTTGCTATCTGCCTTCCTGCCAGCCCCGCTCTCTCAAGGCTGTGGTAGTGGTGGTGAACTCTCTCAAGTCTGTGGCTGTAAACAGGGCTCCCTAGAAATGAGCTTTATCTCCTGATCTGATAACCGAGGGGCCAGCTTGAGATGAGGCTGCAGGAAGTATCTGGTCCCCAGCTTCTTGCTGCTTACAGACTCAAACTAATCCTCGAGCTACAGAAAAGTTTGTAAAAAACTCTTTAGCAGAGGATCTTTAAATCATGGCTTCTTCTGTTCTCCGGGTGTTCAGAGCCCTCAGCTGCCTTGCAGCCATTATCAGGCTTCAGAGCTCCTGCCCCCACAGAGCAGGGAGGATTTCAGCATGATCTGCAGCTTGCCTATATCAGAGGCCTAGAAGCTACTAGAATAGGCAGTGAGAAGCAGTTTCAGCTTTTGCTGCAAAGGATACACCATGTTTTTGTGACAGGTGATGGGGAATGAGGGATCTGGGGCAGGTATGCAAGCTGCAAAGGCAGGCTGGGTACCACCAGCCTCCCAGCAGCACCGAGCACTGTCTGTGGACTGTGATCCATACTTTGTGTCAGGTCAGTGGCTACAGGACTTGTGCCCTTGCCAAGCAATTAAACAATCTGTGTGGAAGGTTGTGCCCTGCTGCAGGCCCAAGGAAGGACTTTTGAGTTTTATTCACTTATTAACATTGGATCGGGGTGTTTGCACATAGGTGTTTGCAAGAGAGTGCTGCTTCATAGCTCATCCAAGACATGGGTATAACTGCAGCAGTGACCTTGCTTATTTACTTACTTATTGTCACAGCTCAGGTCTCTATAGCAGCTTTGCCCATCCCAAATACCCAAGTGAAGGCTCCAGTCATTTGCTGAGCTCAGAAAAATGTGAAGTGTTTTTGAGACTTTGTGTTTGCATTTGTTTCTCAGGCCTTTTTTAAAGCCATTTTAGAAACAATTTAGATTCTCTTCACCTGCAACTCCAGAAGCTTGGGTTTTTTTTCAGAAGGGCACCAAGTATTGCAAGGCCGTTTTCCCACTTTCAGTAACCTGACCATATACACAGCAATGCTTTCCAGTTCCATATTAACGTCTGGGTTCTTCTTCTCCTTGGAGGATTTGCAGTCTCTCCAGCAGGTGGTAGCAGCCTCCTTCAAGCTGTGCAGCTCTGCTCGCTGCCGCAGAATTGCTGCCTGGTGATTCATGTCCCTGGCTGCCCTTGGCCTCACTTCATCTCCTCACCCTCCACTGCAGGCCTGAACTTTCCCGTGGAGGAAGCTTTGCTGTTTGGATCCAGAGTCTGCACTAAATTTACCAGCAGCGTGAATCACAACAACAGGAGGCGATGGCACAACATCACAAGGACACATGAAATGTCTCACTATTGTATAGGATTTACTTCTACCATTTTCACAGCACTATCATGTTCTACCCATTATGGAGGGGCATCTCATAAATGGAACAATTCAGGAATATCCTTCCCAAATACGAAATTCAAGATCTAAGGCCTTGTCTAGTCAATAAGATTAGCAGTGACAGGTCACAGACAGGTGGTATCTTCAAAGGAAATAGAAAATCAGTTTACTTTGTATTTCCACAAGAACTCCTCTGCTATGCCAGGGTAATGTGATAGATTTGTGGATGCAATTGCATTATCCTCTGATATATATGGCCTCTGCTTGTTAGCAGCTGAGTGAGCTACTTTCCTACTTATTTAATAAAATATTGTGTTTATGGTGACAAACATCTTGGGTATAATTTGGAGTGGTTGGGTGCCATGAGATTTTTTTGTCTGCTTGTTTGTGTTTTTTTCTTTTAATATGCAGCCATACCTTCATTATTTGTATTTGAAAATACTGGTCCTATGGGTGAGGACCTAGATTGGTTGAAAGAGTTTCTGGTTTTCAATATTCTGTATAAGTAAAAGGGGTGCACAAAAGAGCTCTGGTTAACTGAGCAGATAAGGAAAACCTTAAGGACAAGACAGAAAAATTCCATTGCTTTCCAAGCTACAGCTCCCATACCAGGGATGAAAGGTGAAGACTTAGATATATTATAAACCTCCTAAAAATTTAGCAAGGGCCCAAGGAGTTTGGCTAATATGTTTTAGCACATGTTTGAGTATCTGTTTGGGGGTTGTTTACTTTAAAACTCTGACTGGGACTTTACTTTTGTTTTTGTTGTGTTTTGCACTGTTGGGTGTAAACCTGTGTAACAGGTCCTTTGCCTGAGAACATGCCAAGGCAGAAAACTTCTGCTCCTCACCACCAACTCCACGCAAAGCATTTCTGTGCCAGTTGTGTTATGAGTCCTCTTCACCCAGGGCAGGTGACAAGAAGACTCACATAATTCAGGCAGGGTTTACTATGAGATCCAGCTAGCTCCTTGTCCCACCTGAGCAGCAGCAGGCACTTTAGGGAAGACAAAAGGTGTTCTGTGTTGATCATTAAGGTAATCAGCTACATGGCTGCAGTTCCCTAAGTTATTCCTAAATACCATCAACTGGGGGTTGGCTTGTGGCCAGGAACTCTTCATGCCTTCTTAGCTGCATCTAGCTTTGCTCTTGCAGTGATGCAAAGGCTTTAATCTTTCTCTGATACCTTCTACATCTAATAGAAAATTCCGTTTGTAAACTTCTTTGATCTTTTCTACCACTTGCTATTTGCTATTCACTCTAGGAGCTATGATGATGCTTGGGGTGGTGGGAAGGAGTGTTTACAGGAGATTTACAAGCCTCAAAGTTAATGCTGTTTTGCTTCTGGAGCATGTCACAGTGTTTAAAGGCTAAACTCTTACTTTGGAGCTGTGTTTTCTGGCAAATGTATGAATTAATGTTACCTTCTTTTCCTTGTTTTTCTTTGTGTACAAGGAGGAGGAGACTTTCTCAGATTTTAAACTCTTCCAGCTCTCGGAATGACAAAACCCATCAAAGGTAACTCCCATCCATGCTGAGACTGTGCAATGCCACCTTGACTGAGAGGTGATAATGGCCCTGACCAGCCTCACCTGTGACCTCTCTCATCTCCCATGTGCCTGGGAGCTCCAATGCAGCTCAGCCCAGGCAGGGGAGCTGCTGGGTGATGTGGTGCCCTGCCCTGACAGTGAGTAAGCTTTTAAATTTTCATTACTTTACCATAAAAAGAGCCTGGGTGTCAGACTGTTTCAAGTGGTGAGACCTCCAAGCAGAATGAACTCATCCTTCTCGGATTTGAACATGCTGATGTGTCTGAGGTGAGCAGCCCCTTGTGCTGGTGAGGCCTGTGGTATGTTTTTGCTGCGTTGAGGTTAAAGCCTCAGAGGGTGGAGGAATGCTTTCCCCTGTGAAGATTACTTCTTACATGTTGCTCTGCACAATAATTGTTCATGTTCAGAATTTATGTAACATTCCTGGTTTTTGATAAGTGAAGCAAGCATAAGATTTACCTCAAATATATAAGTTTAAAGAATGTAAAATTTCTGTCGTGAAACAACAGAAAGCCAAAATAAACAAAATCCCCTTTGAAGGATGAGTTAGACTCATTGAGCTGGGTGTGTTAGTGGCTTATTTAAGCATTTAAAGCTGTTTACTTAAGCAGACTCCCATTATTCGTTAGGAGCTCTATCTAGGTGTCAATGGGCTCAGAAGAGACCAAAGGTCAGTCTTCTGTTTTGTGTGAGGACAGCAGGCTGCTCTTCGGAGAAGCAACCTCTTCGAAGGTTTGATCCTGACACTGTAATTGAGGCGTAGTGGAGTCTCACTGAGTGATGTATCACAGTCTAGCTGGCATTTCTGCACACTCTTTGACTCTGCAATAGTGACTGGGCTGCTGTGATAGCCTTGTAGCAAGGGGTTTGTAGACCTGTGCAGAATGAGGTCAGACTTTACTGATCCTGCTTGTCAGCCAGTGCTCCATCGTGGCAAATACCAGTGAGGAATAACCCAGTGAAGGAAAATCCACCAGAAGGGGAACTGCCTACATCCCATGGGCTGAAGCTGTAAGGGTGCCCCTCTGGCAGCCAAATTTAGGCTTTTGGAGTTTTGGTGACTTGGCAGCTCTGGAGTTAGCAGAAGAGAGACAGGCATAGCATGAGTCCAGCAGAAGGTAAGGAAGGAGCAGAGGTAGGGAAGGAAACAAAACAAAGAGCACAACCTTCCTCTTTGGGTGGGTGTGGGCTGCTACCTAGGGTTCAATTGCCCTTTTTGCCTCAGGAGCAGAGGCTCCTTCCCTGCCTGACAGAGGCAGCCTAATGCCAAATTAATGTGTTATGTATTGCCTGGAAGAGCCTTGACCCTGCTGAAAGCTGACTCATGTGATCTTGGTCCTTAGATTTGCTGAGAGTTGCCCTGCAAAATGGCCAGCTGCCTCTGAACAAGTGAGGGAGGCCGTGCCACTGCTTTGACCCTTGGCTGGGCAATGAAATATCATTGTCACTTTGCTTTCCAAAGGTAGAGGCTAATAGTTTTTATGGCTGCTGAGTTATCAGTTTCTAAGATATAAAGGAGAAAAAAGACGACTATTTCTTTCTTAACAGTTTTAAGATCTAACAGACAAGGCTCTGGGATTGTCAATTCACACAGGTGCTTACCATGAAGCTATTGTTAGGTGTATTGTTCCTTTGGCTGCTCTCCTCAGAAGGTAAGTTTTGAAAAGCTCTTTGAAAATTTGAGTTGCGTAGTATTTGGGAACCTCTATTTTTAATTGTTGCAAGGTGGGTGTATAGGAGGAGTTTTAGAAGCATGATGAAGAAAATCTGTGAGTAAAACTGTGATCTTGCATGTAACTTTGTGTACGTTTGATCATTTTTTGACAAAGATGCATGCGTTGGTTTACGCTGTTCTGGGGATGGATTGTGTCTTAGGCAGGCACTGAAACTTTCTAGGGGGAAAAACATCATCAGACAGTGAGATCTGTGCCAAAATGATGCAGAAATCTAAGCAAGTGACAGAGGTTTTCTCTGAATTCATAATGATGATCATCTTCTCTTTAGTGGTAGAAGATTGTCTGAATGCTTAGGCAGCATCCTGTCATTCAAAGCATAGCTGTTCAGATTTCTGCAAGTTTCAGGGTAGGGGGAGACTTTTTTCCCTATACTGGGTCCCCAAAGTCCATGTTTGGTGCTAGACGCCAGTTTTGTAGCTGCTCTAGGACTGAAAATATTGTGTATGTTTTGGCCTTATTGGCTTTATGCTTCAGCTCTCTGCCTGTAAGAAAATAATGATAACTAGTAATAGTGCTGTGCCTTAGCAGTAGGTTGTGATGGTAAATATCTTCAGATATAAGGTGCTCTGGTAACTAACTTTGGTTCCTTAAGTAATCAGAAGAAATTATCAAATCTGAGCTTTTTAATTTATGGAAAAAGGTGCATGATGGCTGAAGTTCCTCTGACAATTTGATTCAGGAAAAAATGGGGATTGATAGGAACCTGTAAGAATTACTTGTTGAAACAGATTAATTATAAGAGCAAGGGAGGAAGGAATTAGACTATTTCTCCCAAATTTTGGGGAAATTGTCAGAAAAACAATTTTTTTGAGACAGTTAAAATACAAGCTAGAAATGTTCAGCGGTAGAGTAAGGGAGTAACTATAATATTGGGAACTGCAGGAGTTTAAAAAGTCATCCAATGGAAAGCATAAATCCAAAACAAACAAAGAAAACTGAATAGGTTAGAATTTAATTAACCAGGCCAAAAATTAATCTGAGGGGGGAAAAAATGAATCACTGTTGAAGAAGTGAAAACCAATAAATCCTTTTTCAAATTCATCTGAAACGTGGAGTCTGTAGGGCTGACTGTAGTATAAAAGATGGCTGAAAGCTGACAATTTCTTTTTTCTTTAGTGTCCTCTGCATAACCGTTTAAAAAAGGTCTTGCACTCCAAGCCTTTCAGCACAGGGGGCAAGAGGAGTAGCAGTTAAATCCTTGAACAAACTGATGGCAAATAGTAAAAGAACTGTTAGGGTTGGATGGTATCCACACAAGGGAGCGAGCCAAGAAGAAATATGAACATGTCCATTGTAGTAACTGTGATGCTCATGTTGATCTGGGTTGGAATGTGGGCTCCCCACAAATTCAGAAGTGATCTGGATAAGGGGGCATTCTAGCTTGCTGATGCAAAACTACTCAGGATGCTCAGAATGAGAACTTAGACTAAGTTTTTCCCTTATATATTACTTTTATCTATGTGTACTCAGTGATGAATTCTAAATAGAATCATAGAATCAACTGGGTTGGAAAAGACCTTCAAGATCATCAAATCCAACCCTTGATCCAACACCACCATGGTTATTAGACGGCACTAAGTGGCACTAAGTGCCACATCCAGTCTTATCTTAAAAATCTCCTGGGATGGTGAATCCACCACCTCCCTGGGCAGCCCATTCCAATGTCTGATTACTCTCTCTGTAAAAAATTTCTTCCCAATATCCAACCTAAACTTCCCCTGGCAGAGCTGAAGACTGTGCCCAGCTCCCTCACCACCCTAGGATGGATCCCATCTGGTCCCATAGACTTGTGAGGATCCAAGTGGCTCAGCAGGTTGCTAACTGTTCCCTCCTGGGTTACGGAGGGGGGGCTATCTGGCTTACTGTCTCTGTCTACCAGTTCTGAAGGCCAGTTGTCCTGAGGACAACCTGTCTTACTGTTGAAAACTGAGGCAAAGAAGGTGTTAAACACCTCAGCCTTTTCCTCATCTTTGGTGACTATGTTCCCACCCATGTCCAACAAAGAATGGAAGTTTTCTTTGCCCCTCCTTTTGCTATTGATGTATTTGTAGAGGCACTTCTTGTTATCCCTAACACAAGTGGCTAGACTGAGTTCAAAGTGTGCCTTTGTCTCTCTAATTTTCTTTCTATAGGACCTAACTATATTCCTTAATCCTTCATGAGTAGCCATGTTGGTGAGATCTCTTTTTTTCCCCTAATTTCCTTCAGAATCTCCCTGTTCAGCCAGGCTGGCTGTCTTTCCCATTGGCTCACCTTTCAGCAGACTGGGACAGCCTGCTCCTGTGCATTCAAGACTTGCTTCTTGAAGCATGTCCATCCCTCCTGGACACCTTTGTTTTCAAGGGCTGTTTCCCAAGGTACCCTCTGAACCAGTCTTCTGAGTAGGCCAAAAAGATAGATGATGCTTGACCCCAGAACATAGCTGTCTGAAAAAAATCAGTGCTAGACATGGTCAGAGAGACAAATAATTCCATGAGTCAGGGAGAGAACAGCATAAAACCCATGTTGCTGCTGCTGTGTTCAGGGCCATGGTTCACCTGCATCTCGACAGTTGTCTAGACTTTTCATCTCAAAAAGGATGTGGAAAAACCTAGGAGGAGGATAAAGGGGAAGAGTGGTCAGACTTATGAAACAACTTCTACATGAGATCAAAGAGACTGACTCTTCAGCCTGAAAGAATGGACAGGTATATGATAAAGACATACAGGCACATGTAAAATGGTAAGTTTTGCAGAAATAGGGAAATTACTACTCTTTACAAGAACAAAAAGAAAACAGGTCATGTTAGTAACAAATGAGAAGTACTTTTTTTCAATAATTAAATTATAAAGCACTCTTGCCAGAAGTGTGAAAGTGTTAGACAAACAAATTGGCAGATCCATGGAAGAAAGGTCTCAGGAGCCCTTCAACATGAAGTAATTTCTTTCTCAGGGAGCACAGTAGCACAGATAGTTAGGAGGATAGTTATAGAATATAACTGTTGTTATATAGAAGTAAATCCGTTTTCCTTATTCTCTGCCTAAGTATATACATTTGGATGTTGTCAGAGGTAGAATCCCAGATTAGATGGACTTTCAGTCTGACTTAGTAGAACTGTTCCCCCAACTCCGTGAATCCTGGAAGCTGGGATTGGATCCTCTTTCACCCTTGATGTAACCTGTGGATTTATTTTGAAATACAGTTGGAATTACTGTTAAAATTCTCAAAGATACTTAGCTTCTGCAATAGATTTGTGTGATGCAGGTGAGTCTCTCATTGCTCATGCCTCCAGTATCTCAAACAGAGCTGGGTTATGTTATTGTCCTGAGTAAAGCATCATTAAAAAACATGGATTGAACAGGCAGAAATTTTAAATAAAATGTCACACAAAAGTCAGGCAGCAACTCTCTCAATCTTCTACCAACCAGAACAAAAATAATATAAATTTGCAAATAGCTCATGGTTGAAACCCAAGTGGCAAAAATAGCCTACATATGGAAGTTGCTGACAGTTATTGAATATGGTCGCATAGCGTGGCACAGGAGAGACAGGCTGAGGTGGTCATGGGGAGCAGTATGGCTTCTGTCACCACACTGACCTCTGTATGCACAGCTACCCATGCCCACAGAGGCTGTCCAGAGCCCTCTGCTTGTGCCAGGTATGCCACCTCCTTGCAGTGGGATCCCTGCTGGCTCCCCTACACCCAAGGATGTCTCTCCTGCTGGGCTGAGCTGGCTCTGCATCTGCTCTGTCACCGATGTGGAAAGAAAGGTGTACAAGGCAGAAGTACTCAGCAGGGCTAAATATTCCAGAAATAGCTCCTGGATGTTAAAGGACAATTATTCTAAGCACAGCAAGATCCTTCGGGAGACTTGCTGGATGCTGATGGCTTCAGTGTGGCAAGCAGGGACAGCTATGAACATGCTTTGAAGTTCAGCTGACCTAGACTTTGTGGCTACCTTTGTAGAAATTTTAGGATAAACCAGAATCTATGTGTATAAATCCAAGTGTAATCTCAAGGGAAGAGAATAATGTTTACTGAAATAGCTACAAACCCAACTTCTGGCACCACAGGCTATTTTGTCTGCCAACACTCTCCACTAAGTGAAGAAATCGCAGCTGTTTTCTGTATCACTATGGCAAGCTCACAAAGGTGTGATGCTCCCTGACTGTGGAAGATGTAGATTAATGTGAATTGCTCCTTTCTAAGGAGTTTCACCTTGCACTTTTTCAAATTACCCTAAATTTTGACAGAATAAGACTGCAGAAATATATGAAATGTGCTGAAGACAAAAACAGTTCGAGAAGGCCTGTGCAAGACAGAGTTGGTTGAGGAGATCCACAAGCAGTTCATCACCTGTGCCTATGAATTCATTGCATTCCATTAATCTGCTTATAATAACTAAAAGGTTATTCTAGTATAGCAAAAACAAACAAAATTTGTTTGGTTGTTGGGATGAGCCTTACCTTGGGAAAGCAGGGCAGATGAGAAAGATGCCTCCTCTCAGGATTCTGTGGTTTTAGGTGTACTAAGTCTTCTGAAACTTTTTCCTAAGTTAAAAAAATATAATTCATTCTTTTAATGTTTTTAAGGTAATGCAGACGATCTGAAAGAATATGGGAAACTAGAGGTAAAGTATGAGTACAGCTTTCTTTTTTTTCCTATTTTCAATACCTATCATTACCTCTCAGGCTGTGCTTCCTCTGAGTCAGGCAGAAGAATTAAAAAATACAGCTTGGTGCCCTAAACTTCTTCCGCAAAGAGTAAATGCAAAGTGAACGAGCTGACAATGTGATAGTGCAGCTGCAAGATTACAGTACCTAGTCAGGAAATAAGGTTTTCTCCGAGCAATGTTTGTTATTAGGTTGTACATCCTGGATGTTGGTCGATTGTGGTTAGTGCTTCTTCCTAGATGCAATGTTGCTCTTCTACAAACAACAAGACTAAACTCTTCCTTGCCCTATAATGGTGAAAAGTGTGTGCACTGTTAAAGTCCACCAGCTGGTCAGTAGAGAGGGTGTGGGGACTGTGATGGCCCCTGTCACAACACAGATTTCACCTTTATGGGGTGATGATGGTCAGCTAGCCAGACACGGCCATAGTAACCTGGGGGTAAGGGGTTGTCTTTCATGTCTCTTTAAAGCACTAGATGTTGGGCTGTACCTCCAGTAAGGATGTAGGACGGCACTGAATAATGTTCTTAGTGGTACTGAGCTGTGTCTCCTGCTGAGTGAACAGTATCGCTTGCATCTTTGCCTTCTCTGATCACCTGGCCAGGTGTTGCCAGTAATTAAGGAGCCAGAATTGGTTCATTCTGCTTTTCCTATTGCATATTGAAGATGTAACTTTTTCCAAAAGTTAGGTGACCTTTGGCACATGAAGATGTGTGCAATAGCTGTCCTTAAGACCTCTTCCAGATTAAGCACTCTCTGCAGCAGTGGATGTAACAGCATGTGTTCAGCACATTTCATTGTTTGCTCAGGCCCAGTTCTGTGGCACTTGGTAAGAAAACTGAGTAGAAAGTGTTGTTTTGGAACAGTGGATCGAAAGCACAGGTGTCTGGATCTCTGTTCCCTTGTATTTCTAACAGAGGTGTAATTGTTCTTTAAAGTTGTTTACATGAGCAAAAGCTTGGTTCTGTGTGAGAATGGAGCCCATAGGACCCCTTTTTCCACAAATTTCATGGTTAGATTGAAGAAATTAACCATATTTGTTTGTTTATTTCAAAGGCTCTAAGAAGCTTGCAGTTTTCATGTGAGGAGACGATTTTCCCTGAGACCCCCTCATCTTCAGGTTTGTGTTTGATACTGTCCTCGTAGAGGCTTTCCCTCCCAAAATTATTTGTGAATGGGCTGGGGCAGAAATCAGCTGTTTCAGGATATACATATGTCTGAGACATGACTAAAGTAGAGATAGGCTCTATAAACTCTTTTACCTTTTTGTTCTATTCATTATTTCTTCTCTGCCTCACTTTCTGCACCTGCTAATTGAGGATGCCACTCTTACTTAAATCATTCACAGTAGTGTTTGTTTTATTTTTTCTTGCTTGATGGTTGAACATTTCAGTGCCTCTAAACACCCAAGGTATTTACTGAATACCCAAGTAAAATTTCTCATTCTCTCTGATGAATTTAAAGCCTGCAAAATCACCATGATGAGTATAGATTTCTTACATTTTAGCCAATTTTGTTATATTTTAGTATACTGGTGAATGTAACTTTCTTTCAAGATTACTGTTCATTTTTGGTGTTTTTTTTTAACCTGAAGTCTTTTTCTTTTCCTCAGTTCATGCTCTAAGGCCAGCTGACATTAAAGCAGTCACTGCAATAGGAAGTTTTCAAAGAGTAAGTACAAGTGGGAAACGTACTGAACATGACCCATTTCCTCCGTTGTGATGATGAAGCGAGCTGATGTAGTTTGGGGTCTCAGTTAGGACATTCAGGACTTGAATTTTTCCACGAGCATCAAAGACTTCTGGTGGAAAAAATGACTGGAAATACCTGCTGTTCAGTGTTCCAGTATACCCTGAGTCTAAAAATAGCCAGCTGACTTCGTGCAGAAGGAAATGTGATCACAGTGCTCTTGCAGAGAACCATGATATTTGATTAGAGTGCTTGGATGTTCCTAACAAAGAGCGTAACAGATTGGATAACTGGAAGAAAAAAATGGGAAAATTCAAACTGGAACAAGTACAAATTGTTGAGAAATGCAGTAGATTTTCCATCCCTCTGAGTGCTTTCTATAGAGACTGGTTTCCCATCTAGAAGGCAGAAGGTCAACAAGGATCACAAAGATTTGCTTCTGATCTATAGATCGCTGGGTAAAGTTCTCCTGCTTTTCTAATCTAATCTGCAACCGGAACTGAATGATCTTTACTTGTCTTAGTTGAAAGCCAAATTAAAAACATTTAATCACAATTCCCAGGCTTTGAGGAAGTGTAAAAATGCCTGTGGAGCAAAAATTTATAGCCATTGCCAGGGCTGCAGCTATGAAAAATAGGGGAGATTCTCCCTTATTCTCCCAACAACTTTCAGCTTTGAGATGGTATTCATCAAGACATCATACTTTTCTATTAGAAAATCAGCACTCCTGGACTCCTTGTGAGTACCTCTTTCTTTTGAAGAAAATAATTGTTCTAAATGCAAGGGTACTTCATCTATATCAGATCCATGGCCCTGTAGAGCAAGGGCCAATGTCTTTGTTGCTAGTGGATGGTGCCATAGCAAATCATAAATAATCTTCTTTTCAGAAATGTCTGCTTTCCTAGAGCAAACAGATGTCATTGTCTCCTCTTCAAACTCTCTGAAATTAGTGAAGTTCCTCTGTTGATCTTAAGTGTGTTGTTGTTTTTTTTTTAACAGACACCATTCTGGCTGAGTGCCATCCATGTAAATTATTTAAATTACTTCAAGTCATGTCCCTTGTTGAAAAAGAGTAGAAGTGGGTACAGAGAAATATGGTTTAGAACAGCATTTCATTTGATGGCATTTGATTTCAACTATTTAAACTTTATTTGAAGCCATATGTAAAAAAAAAATTAATGAAAGCAGAAACTAAGAAAGGATTACAAGACTATAAAAATACACTGTAATAAGGAAGCTTTGGAAAGTAATTTAAATCTGTGACTGATTACAACACAGTGGAGAAGAATAAGTAGAAAATAATACTATCTATGACAGGAGTTGAATACGGTAGGGGAACAGCATATGTAGGTCTAGTTTACACTTCGCTGCTTAATGTTATTCTTATGGCTTCTTTGTTCACAGACACCAGGATCTGTTGAGGATTTACTCCAAAGGTAACAATAAACTATTAGTATTTATGAGTGTCATTATACTAATCTATACAGTATCACAGTGCAGGAATTAGGCCCAAACAATTATTATTGTTTTCTAGAGAAGAGGAGAAAGTCTATTTAAAATATAAAGGATTTTGAGACACTGGAACCTTCTCTGTCCTTAGGTAACAAATTCTTTGTACTTATGCAAAATATAGAACTACCTCAGGGCTGCAATAGCCTTGATTAAGAATCATTGCTACCTGATGACTCCTAGGTAGTAAATATCATAATTCACTAGTTAGAGACCAGAAAATAGGGATTTATCAAAGCAAAGAAGGAGTCCTGATACTCTGACCTCTATTTGACTGATTCCCCGTGCTTCATGGACAAGCATTACCCTGTTTTCTTCTTCCATACCCCTTTAGGAGATCTGAATCAATGAATGAACATGTGGCTAAACCTTGTAGCTGAAAGTCTGTGTAGCTCTTGAGTCACAGAATTCCAGATGAGGATTTAGCCCTGCACAGATAAACTTTAAAAGACTAATTTTTCCTATGATTGCATAAACACCTGTGTCCACTTGTATCTGGGTGTACACAGAGAGGTCCCTGCATCACTGGTACTTTTGCTTAAGCATAAGTACTGCAATATGCAGAGCTTACAGAAACACAAAAAATGAGATCTGAGACTGTTCTTACTCAGCGGTAGCTGATGACATGACAGTTTTGGGGAAAGAAAGGTCCCATTCTTACTCTGAGCAGCTGCCATGAATACACCCTCTGAGATGGAGCATAACTAATAAGAAATTGCGGTTGTGCTGTAGCAGAATTTTTCTTTGAGAAATGGAATAACAGGAACTTCCTGTTTTCTCTTCCCTTTCTATAGCACAGGAAAGAGCTTCCTTGAAGTAAGCGTGGAAACTTTAGCAGGTGCGTCTTGCTGTCACACTTAAAACTCGAGCAAATTGATTTAACAGCTCGCTGGCAGGAGCTCCGGGGCTCTACTGGGCTGCAGAGCAGGTGCAGCACAAGCACACTGCAGGGGAGTAAGGGACACCTGAGGGATGGTGTAGCTGGGGGACATGAGTGCAATCAGCCTGGGTTACCTGTGCTGGCTTCAGAGAGACCGTCTGGGTAGGCTAATAGCCATGAAGAAGGTGTGCCATGGGCTGCTGCAAGAGTCTTAAATGCCCATCTATGGGTTTGGGCTGCTGTTACTACCCACGATACAGTCTCTGCAGGTGAAATCTTGTGTGGGTTTGCCTGTCCAGTGCTGCTGTGTGTTTAGGGTTTACACCGGGGCTGCATAAATGCACCACGTCTCTGAATTTATCATATGTCAGCTGGTTCCTGCTGACTCTGAAGGCAACCTTTACTTGTTTGAAGGGCAGTGCAAGTAAAACCTTCAGGTCCACTGAAATGCTGAGTAACGTATAGTTCCATGGTCCTCCCCTCCAAATCATCTTCCTAGTGTCTTAACGCCTTGAAATCACCTCTATTTTGCTGTGAAAGGGGTTTAAAACCTGTCAACTCATCAGTTCTTCAGGAGACTGTCTCTGGGTAGCCCTTCCCAGTAGCTTCATTTCTACAGCTGCCTGTATTTAAGACCACCTATACTACTTAAGAGATGGGAATGGAGGTTTCTGCCCTGAGTCTGCAGGCAAATTCAGACATGAAGCCTTCACTTTGGAAGGTGAAGAGCAAGACCAGGAAGAACGGCTGCAGAGGGCCTTGGGCATACCTCCCATGTCTGCCAAAATTTTGATCATCAGATTTTACATGTCTGGCTGTTTTAGCTCTGTTGGGTTTATAATGAAACAGCAGAGTAGCAGTCCGTTGGATGCAGAAATCACCTAACCTGTGTTGTGTCATTCAGGTCTCATTAGCACTTTTAATCCCACGGTCCTACACCTGTCCCCTCTGCCAGACACAATGGGAGCAACGCCAGACAGTCAACCCATGTAAGTCTGAGGGGCTTTTCACTGGGCAGTTTTACAGCTGATTTACAAATTTACAGCTGGAAAGGTGGAGGATGGAAGCCTTTTATGCTGGAGCACTTCACTGGACACAGAATATGTTCAGTAACAGCAGAGGCTGCATAAACAGTCCAGGGACAGACCCTGCCACTGTTGCTCAATTTCCACCTCTCAAAATCAGGACAAACAAAGCCCAGTGTGTGCTTTGGGGTCTGGATCACCTGACTTAACATCAGGTCTCCCCTTCACCACTGAAAACCAAATTTTTGGCTCAAATAGAGTTAGAGGTGTGCCCACCAAGATGTGTCTGCTATTTTCACCTAAGTGCACATCTCTAAAGGGAGATACCTGAATATGAGCTAATCACCCCAGGCTCTCTGTGTAGCACAGATGTCTAATCTTAACACATTTAGGGGAGAAAAGATTAATCCAACCTGAAGCCTTAAATGCCATTCAATTTAATGGTAAAAAATCAGCCTAAGCTTTACCCTTACTGATGCTTTCATAGTTTCTCTCTTCCTTTCTGCTTTTCAGAGACCTCCTGCATCAAGCTGAAGAAATAGTGGAGCTCATGAAAGAGAATCAGGTTTGTTTAAAGCACAGGACAATTTAGAAAGCATGATGTTGAAGCAGAAAAAGGCAGAAAAATGATTTAATTCTTTAAACAGCACTCAGAAATCTTTTCAAAACAGAAAATGCTGTTTCTTCAGGTTAACAGACTTTGGTCTTCCTGTGCCTTTCAAGTAAAGAGTTTTGTTCTTAAAAGTACCCTCCCCTGTTTACATTTATCAAAGTGACTGAAGAGCTTGGTAGGGAAGCCAATATTTATTTTCTATTGGCTAAGGATGTGAGACCTCTGCTAGCTACACTCTGTAACTGTGCCAATGTTTCTGAGAAGCCAACCCAAAATAATAATTCTTAGTATTTGTCTCTTCAGTTCTTTTTTGGTCTTTTAAGAACATATTTTCTAAAAGGACAGTAAAGGCCTAGATATGCTTTGGCTGATCCTGGCTGAGTGCTTTGTAAATCCCATCCTGGAGTTTTAAGCATTCATTTGTCTTTTATTCGTAACCACAAGCCGTGTTATTTTGTAAAATGGTCTTGAAATAATGGGAAAATGTAATTGCCAAGGCAATTCTGCTGCTGCCTCTTCACTCTACAGGGAGCCCATCAGACTGTTTGTATGTGGATTTGGCATACATTTTTGTGGAACTGTGTGGTTCTAACCAATGCTCTTCAAGAGTATTGAGAATTGACTAATAAACATAGCACAAGCAAGCAGGGCTCTAGCTCTCAGATTTTTAACTCCAGTTAAAAACATCCACATCCCACTGATGTGATCCATTCTCAGCAGTTCAGGAACCTTAACCCTGCTGGTAAGCTGCAACAGTGATGGAAAGAAGCAATGTCAAGCTTTGTGCTAACTTCTTCATGCCCATCTTTTCCAACAGAGTCTCCACTGGCAACAGCAATTTCAGACTCTATCCTGAGCTTTTTGTATATGTGCATTCAGCAGCATCTGATAATTGCAGCACTTGCTGCCTAACCATCCGTTCAGTGTCTCCTCTAGGGAAAAGCTGCATGGATTGTCAAATGGAAGGGATTGAGAGGACCAGGGATGAGCCATGGACTACTGCTTGGTCTTGCCGATTTAAAGCTATAGCAAATCATGTGTGAGAAAGGAAAATAACAAATAGATCTGCTATCATCCTATTCCTTTTTTTTTTTTTTTCTCCCAGTTGATGGACTTCCAAAATGACTGGAAACTAATCACAGTGTTTTTTAGTGCTGAAAACCCATGTTCCTCCTGTGCTTCCACACAACTGGTAAGTGTTTAGTGGGGTGGTTTAGCAGTCAGGGCAGATGGTTAAGATACTTGCCCATACTGTGCTCTCTGCCACAGTGAACCAAAGGAGTAGATTGGTCTGGGATGTTGGAATGGTTCTATCCAGTGATGTAAGCTCCTGGCACACTGTGTTTTGTATTTATGTACATTTGTCATCTCAAGTCTAAGATGCCTTAGTGGAACAACTGTTTTCCACCTTCAAGTATAAAGATACTTTTTTTTTTGCATCCCTGTATTTATATATATATATATATGTCAAGTTGTCTATTTATAGGCAGTTAAATTAGTTCCATGTTATTGTTGTTGTCTGAGGCTGAATTCTGACTATAGTGGTTCTTAATAACCCTTCAGTACACAGCTCAACACATGGGTTTTGTGACTTACAGGAAATGGATAACTTTGTTTTTTCTACTAGTTTTGATGGCCTTTCTCATCTCATTTACAGAAGAACTGCACACTGGAAAATCTGGAAAAACTTAAAGCTGTCCTGGATTTCTTGTACAAGAAGGTAAGATGTATTCATCAATCCCAAATAGCTGAATCCTTTGTGTATTTTTCCAGTCTCCCTTACTAGGTTGGGGCTGGTACCACTCTTCATGTGGCTTAGAACACCAGTCTCATTGACTTCAACCCACTGGCCTCATTTGTTTTCACTAAGTGTATTACTCACAGTTTTAAAAAGTTGATGCACGCAAGCAGAAAGAAAGGATGGGTAACTGCTCTATTTTGCAACACAAGTTGATGTACCACTCAATCTTTCTTTAAGTAATTTTTAAGTACTTAAATTTTTAAGTAATTTTTAAAGTAATTTTAAAGTGATGTCTATGAAAAATGGAGCACACCTGTCTAGGCCTGAAAGTCATGCTTAATGTGACTGTTGGTGAAAATAACTGATAATCTGATTACTGGATGTGTGGAACACGTAAGCAGTGTACAAGCTGCTAATTACCTGGTGATGACTTTTACAGACCAGAGAAAACACACATTAAAATAAGTGTAATGGATCTTTTTTTCCTATTATGTGTTCATTTTAAGATCTTGGCCTTTCTCAAGGTTTTCTAACTGGCTGAGAGAAGAATTATCTGCTTATCTAGGATGGTTTCTGGGAAGTGTTCTGTGGTGTGTCTTGGTCTACTAACAAATAGTAGAGTAGACAAGGATAGATCACTACTAAAGCAGACTATAAACTGTTTATCTGAATTATTTCAATAATATTTTTAAATAATTTTGTTATGCTGCGTCAAAGGCCTTCAGTGTATTCTAAACCTGTTACAGTTTGATTGCATGAGGCCACAAGCACTTGTTTTTCTCCGACTGACTGCAACAAATACTGCGCATGGGTGAAGTTCCACCCACGTATTCCCTTCAGATTCTCTCCATTATTATTTCCAGAAACTGTTTATGTGCACTTGTAAAAGTGAAATATCATTATGTAAACGAAAGGCTGCTTTCTGCTTGGGGGAGGGGTGAGGTGGGTTACATGAGTGCTTGTGCTATTATACAGCATGTTTCATCCCTGGCTTTGCATTGGTGTGTTGCCACAATAATGATAGTTCCTAGTTCATTTGAGTTCAGTTTAGCTGGCTGGTGGCCATCTTGGTTATGTAAAATTAATTGCTATGTCTCAGTCAAGAAATCATGGTCACAAGTACTTCATAAATGATCAGCCTAGATGGCAGGCACAGGAACGGGATTCAGGGCAGAATTGGCAAAGATCATTGATTTTATTCAGGGAGAATCCCAGGCTTGGGAAGCTGTAGACATGATCTACTGTTATTACTACTTGCTGATCTTTAATTGCAAAATTACCATGATTAATTTTTACTTTATTACTGCAGGTTCCCAAGGCCTTCATAAATCTAGTGGATTCCACTGAGCTCGCAACTGCCTCTCCTGCATGCCAAGGTTACAGCAATGCCAGGTAGCAGGTTTCTTTAAATTGTGTCTCCTGCTGGTGTTCAACACATAGCTATGTATTGATTTTATAACTGAACCAGAGTCCTGTGAACAGTTTTTCTGCCCTTACTACAAAAGTATGTAAAAGATTTTAAATCTTCACTTTGTTTCCAATAAACTCTTTCAGAAAGATATTTTTTTGCTAGGGCAGGTAGGTGCTTTTTATCCTTTCAAGTTGGATAGCATATTTAAATAGTAGGTCAGAGTGAGGGGACAAAGAGAAAGCCTCGACACTATACAAGCTCTGTTCACCAAGAGCTAAAGCATTGGTGTGTTATCAACAGTTTTAGCCACAAATCCCAAACACGGTATGGTCTGCTATGAAGAAAGTTAACTCCATCCCAGCCAGACCCAGTACTGAGATTATGGTCAGGCGGCTGCACAGTCTAGCTATCCTCATTTTTTTATTCCCTATATATATATATATATATATATATACTGTTTGTGTTCTGCAACTCTCAAGTCAGAAACAATGTAGGCACTTCAGAGGTTTGAGTTTCTAGGTATCAGTGTTCACAAAATGAGTAACTGATCTTACAAGACATTGTTAGGCTATTGGAAAGCTACTTCTTGAGCTTAGGGTATGGTAGGATGGATAACATCCAACTTGTCAGTTCCTTATGATAACTGCATCCATCTCTCTCCTTTTCTCAGTAATTTGTAACAAGTGTGTGAGTAGTTTGTCCCAATTTAGTATGGAGTAGGAGTGTGCACATGGGCTGTTATGGTGGAGTAGTTTACAGCTGATGAGATTACACTCCATCTTACTCCACAGTAATTTTTCTTCCTGTGCTCGTGGCATAAGACACCATATGTACAAATATAGTCATCCTGAAGTGTTTCACAAGCTTTGCATGTGTACAATCTCAGACACGTTCTGGTGGAATAGGGGAAGAGGTCTGGCTGCTACGTAACCATGTACTTATCAACAAGTACAAATAGAGGAGCAGCTTTCCTTGTCAAAAGTGACTGCATGGAACACTCTGCTTATTTCTCCTGCACAGGCATTAAAGGGAAAAATGTGAGAAACATGGAAAAGATGGATTTAGGAATACAGCCTTGCCATGTATCGAAGGTCTTAAAAATAAAATTAAATAGATCTGGTTTTTTCCTCTGAGAAATTTTTATATTTCCTTTTTTATTTAAGGCAATTTTCTCTCTCATTGTCAGCATGCTGTGTTCATAGCTGTGTTTATCTGGTTGAACGGTTCCACCAGTTTGCAAATCTTGTACTTTATTGTTTGGTAAACTTAGCCTCAAGCACAGAATTTCTCCCAGATAAGAGTCTCATCTTTTGGCCACTAAGTCCTCATTTTGAACGGTGCTTTGAGAGAAAAGCATAAGCCCATACAAAAATATCAAATTTTACGAGTCTAAGAGAATAACAGTGGTTGACACTCACAGTCCAATGTCATTACTGAACTTTAGGCGCTGAAGTTTGGGACATAATAATGAATTAAAGTTCCTTCCCTTATTAGTTTCTTACTAACTGGGAGTGTCTGCACTGAAAGTAATGCATGAACCCTGTTTTTAGTCGTGTAACTCTCTTCATGTATTTTAGGAGGTTCTTCTGTCAGGCTTGGGTAAGATTCTGGTCCTCAGTTGAAAATTCTTTCACTCACAAGTAGTGATAATAACACCTTAACAGAAAACTCTCATTTTATGGGTTTAGCCAGAGTTCTGTGAAAAAACTGAGTCTGCTTCTCACAGGTGCTTATTGCTTATATCTGAAAACTCTACAAAAATTTTTCAGATCCCAGTCCATTCAGAAATTTTCAACTGAGTATATCTTTGCTGGAACCTGGTTAATCTTACATGTGTCTAATGTATCTTATATTGTTCCTGTCTAGAGCCTTGGGAGCTCTAAGAGTTCTCCAACTAACTGCAAAAATATGCAGCATGCACATCTCACCTTGCAGGTCAGAAATCTGACCGAGATTGGTTAGCTGTCCGACAGCATGTATGTACAACCTTTTGCAACACTGAGCTTCCACCCACATTTTGAAAGGCAAAATACTAAGGAAAAAGTTCCTGTGGGAGGATTTTGAATTTTTTTTCAATTTTACTATGTGACCATAGAGAGGGAAATGTTTGAAAACTAGTGTAGCTGCTATTTTAAGTTCGGGCATGCTGCTAGCTTGTGAGACCCTGAGCTAATCCAAGTCTGGCATACTTACCATCGGACTAGTCTTTCAAATCAAGAAGCGATTCAAAGCTCTGAACATGGAAATATATATCATTCTATGTTTATATCAAACAATCAGTAACCACGTAACTTTCTCTACATATGCAACAATTTAGTCTTCAATATGTGGGTGTCAGTGGTTTAAAAGAGTTCATGTTATCTGTCTTGTTTATCAAAAGTTCATAATATCTTTAACGCTTTTCATTCTTTTCTGCAGCAATCCAGACAGGAATCAGTGCAGTTGTGTGGGTGAACGCTTCACATTAGATGATAACATACTGAGGTGGTCCTATCAGGTATGGCATCTTCTGCTTTGTTCGGCTCTCCTGTTGCTAGACACATCTATTCGTTTTCCAAATTGGAGTAAAATGAGGAGTTAAGGGAGGAATAGCAGTAAAGAAGTTGAGTAGCAGCTTTTTTACCACATATCCCTAACAGTTCTGACCCCTTTTCTTACATCAGGAATACTGATGATAAGTTCTCTCTATACCTGCATGATCTTAGAACCTCTTAAACTTTTAAATGGCTATTATACCTTTTGGCAACCTACAATTTGTCATATCCCATCAGAGAAATGACCCATCTTGTCCAGTAACCTGCCTCATGATTTAGAAGAGGCAGACTTTCTGTTAAGACAAAGACAGTTCTGCTGGAGTTCCTTTAAACGTGTCAGGGAAGTAATAAACATGACATTTCATTGCCTTGCTTAGCTTGCTACCCTTTCAAAGAAAATTATGGTAAACCAATGTGTCTTTCTCACTGTTACAAGGATTTTCTAGTTGTTGCGTAAGTAGATTTCATTAAATTACTGTCTTTGTTCTCGATTACACAATTTTATTTTTGTGGTTTATTAGAGATGGGGATAATTTCAATTTACTTTAAGCCCTGATGAATTGCACATATATTAGACTCCATCTGATAGTGCTCATCTGATTAAATGGTTGTATATTTAGGATGCTTGGGAAAAACTACTGGAATCTGAGAGGTTTGATCAGAGGGATGACTTCACTGTTGTTCTTCAGCCTTCTCTCCAAGAAAGAAATCTGCTGCTCAGACAGGTGAGTAAACTAAAGTTGCTTCTTTCTTTCTGCTTTGAGTCTGCTCAGACTGAGTGCAATATTTAGCTGACTTTCCTGTCTACGCTCTGTGTAATGCTAGAGGACAAGGGTAATCAGGCACAGGAAGAACACACATCAGGATCAAGTACAGAGGTCCTGAGAGTGGAACTTGCTTCAAACAGCTCCAGCCAGAGATCCTGTGTTTTTTGAATGCTATGTTCCTGGAGAAATCAAGTTATGGGCCTCTGTAGCCTAGGTCACAAGTGTCTGGAAATTCAGTGCTGCTAATCACTGATCATGCTCATGTGTTTGGTAATGAAGGCAAAAAGTGGATAACAGGAACTATTTAAAAAGGGTTAGAGGGACAAAAGACAAAGGTGTTTGTAAACTGTGTTTGAAAGTACTTTTATTTGCCTGCGGTGAGATTAATGCAGTTTGGGAACTTGGGAATTGATTTTTCTCTGGTATAACCAATGGGGAATGAATATAGCTAGTGCTGCCTGGGATGTCAGGCATGATTTTATTATGAGTGATCTTTAAAGGAAGTGCAAAGGTCAAGCCTCTTTAAGATCTGGCAATGAAGAGGGAAAATATTACTTTCTAGATAACAGTTCACTTAGGGTGAGGTATCAAAATCCAACACGTGAAGTGGTTATGTATAAAACAGGTTAATGGTAAGTCATGGTCTGGTTTCTGAGCATCATAATAGCTCCTTGAATCTGAGGTAATTCCATTGCTCCCGTCAGCTCAGTATCAGAACAAAGTGAACTGGAAGAAGAAATTTGTCCTCCAGGAAGTGTACAGTCTGCTATGTTTTCTTGCTGCTGGGTCATCTTTCACCAGGCTTGTTTTGCTGATGGCTGATCCATATGCAAATGGCAGACTTCTAACTTTCATGGCATTATTTTTTTCTCTTAATAAATTCCTCTGTTATTTCTTTAAATGCCATTGTATGTCATAGGAGGATTCTTTATTTCTTCTGGTTTGTGATAGGGCTGCAAGCCACCATGTGTAACCTTCCAAACTCTTCCAACAGTTAATTTAAAATTAAGCATGTTCTCTTGAGGCAAATTCTGCATATTTGCACTCTTCAAATGCATGTTTTAGCTAGAAGAAGTGTTGCTTATTCCAAATCATTCAAGTGATCACATCTGTATGTCTTTTTCCTCTGCTCTATGTCACTATTGTGATCGTGCTGTGTTGTTGCTCTGGTGTTCTTGTCCCGTTGATGTGCAACAATCATTTACAAAAACGGCATCTTTCTGTCTTGACACACTAGTAGTAACTGAGATCAGTAATAAGTGGCTTAAAGAGAATACAAGAGATTGATTTCCTTGTGGATATGAATATTATTTTGTAGATTGAAAACTTTTGTGGCTGAATATTTCATCTTTCCATAATATTAATTCTTTTCTCATGGTCAAAATACTTTCAGGGGAAGGACAGTTTGACTGCAACATCAAAGACACAAATGAAAACTCTGGAAGACTGTATTTTCATGGCTGTGGGCCTCTGGAACAACATGGTAAGCAGTACCACAGACACTATTTCTTACTGGACTTAGTAGGAATGCCTAGTAGCAACTCCACACCAACCGGACTTTGAGTAGCAAGGAAGCAGGGGAAGAAAGAATATAAGAATTATCCCATGACTTCTATCCTCAGCTATGCAGAGAGACTACTCTTGAAATAAAGCTAAGTGCCCTACACTCCCAAGACTAATCTCACTCTCTTCAGTGGCTGCTACTTACTACCAAGAACTTCTTAGAAAGGTTTTCGAAGTAGCCCTTTGGGAAGACTCAGGGAGTAAATGAGCTGTGACAGACCCTTCTTTTGCTAGTCTAACCTCTGTGGCAGCACAGGACAAATGAGGCTCGTCCTAACTGGGATTATAGCAATTATACTCCTGTCTACTGTGTCCTCTCTCTGTCCTGGCCTCCATTACTAATGAGTCTCATACCGTTGTCTCCTCCTTAGCCATCATCTTTCTGCTGATGATGCTCATAGTAAGAACGTGATAGATAACCTTGAGGAGCTGTTCTGACTTCCTCAGGGGTTGGATGTCCTGTCCAGCTGAGGAGAGCCAACAAATGGTGCCTTCTACTAGGTGGGAGAGATTGTTTGAAAGTGACATGGATGTTCTGACCCACTTGACCTTGAACACAATGACCAGTTCTATAGGAGGCTGTTTCCCATTGCAGGCTTGACCTGCATTTGTGTGTGTGACTGCGTGGATGCATGTACAGCTAGAGGTGTTTCATCTTAAAATTAGTGGTAGGGGCAAGCAAAGAAACGTGCATTGCTTTTCAATGTGAATGAGACAAAAAGGCAGACATGTGGATTTGAACTCAGCAGACCCAAGGAAGATATTACTGCTTAGTGCATATTACGTTTGCATATGCCCTGATATCAGTTGTTTTGGATAAGATGTTGATTTTACTATTCCTTCAAAAGATTCAACATCTTCTGCTTTTTTTTTCTAATAAATTTATAACACATCACTTTTTTATTAAGAAGAATCTATAATGGTCAATTAAGTTTGATTAAATATAAAAGACTTTTTGCTTGTTTTGCAGTCCATGTGTAGTAAGATTTTATTCTGAGAGCACCTGCTATTCCTGTGTCTGTCTAGATTATCCTAAGCATGAAGGAAAAAGACTGTACTGCAACTACCTTTTAGTAAACCACATTGAAAAATAAATTAATGCAGTTTGGCAAGTTCTTGTTTCCTTTTATGCTAATTCTAGCAGTAGTAGTGCTTTTGTAGCCCTGATCAGTTGAAGAATCAGGATTTGCAGGAAGAGGCTTCTGTTCAACCAGATGATATATCTAGAAAACTGGTACCATCACTTTAATAAAAGATCTTATCTTTTAGTTAAAGTTAATATGACTTCAGTTAGCTAGTAGGAGACCTTGGAACAGCCATGCTGGCTCCAGTTATCTCCTTTGCTGTTATCTGTGATGTTCCTTGTGATAATGTCAAAGTTCTAACCCCAGTTCTTCTATCATAAAATAGATTCATGATGGATGCATAGTGGCACCTTTTATTGTTGTTCTGCCTTAGTCCCACTAGGCAATTAGTTTCACTAGTTGAATGAGCAAAGCAAATGCTGAAGGTGAGAGTCCTGAAATGTCAGTTAAACATTTTCTCTGTTTCTGGCAGTTCTCTGTAAAGAAACTGAGTTACTTGACCTGCCTATGTCTGTCCTCATCGGTGTTGGAGATATTTATCTGGATCACACAGTTACAGTCACCCAAACATGACCTATAGGGCACTAGAAAGCAATGGCATATCCTCAGATACTAACCATTGCTAGTTGGGAGCAATCCACTCTAAGTATGAACATCCACTTTGCTGTGAAAAGTTGGCTTAGCATGGTTTTTCCATCAGCAAATTTTTGAAATGAAATGAATATTTTTTTAACTAGACCAGAAAAGGAGTGATTCTGACTGGAAAGGAACCACAGTGCCACCAGTTTGCCAGCCCATTTTGTGTCTCTCCAGCAGGAATTGTTTGGGGCCAGTTGAACCGAATGTGTTGGATTCTAAGATCCATCTAACTATGGCAAATAGATCAGCATAAACTAATAGGTTTTCCAGGGCTTATCAGTGGTAAGCTGACCTCCAACTTTGAGTCATGTCCCTTTCTGTTACCATACTCTGCAATTAGCAGAGTTCATGTGCTTCTAATGGGCTTTGCATTCATTTTTTTCTAAGTCTAGACTATAGCACATTGTTTTTTTCTTTTTCTCCTCATGGCCTCTTTCTGTCCAGCTTTTAGATTCCAATTCATGCAGAATCCAATACTAGGCATCTTGAATATTCTTCATAAGGAGTTGTGAAAGCATCATCCCCGTCTGAAACAAGTGTCTTAGCTCCTCCAAATCCAGGCTCTGTAGAAGGGGAGAGGGCCAGGATTTATCTTCTGAAGTTCAATGACTTGTGCAGACATAGTCAGTCAACTCAGTCCTGATTTCTCTTTTCTGCCCTCTCAAATTCTTACTCCAAGATTGCAACAAATTCTTTCTGTCCCTTCAGGTGACAATTTTTTATTTGCAGCTTCTGCCAGCAGAAGAGCCTTCCTCTTTCCTTCTGGTTCATTTTTCTGTCTCTAAACCTTCTCTGCACAGGCTTTATTTGTCCAACTGTGCTCTGTCCTTGAGCAAACTGTTCTTTGGCATGTTAGTCTATTCTTGTCACTTTAATTGCTAGGAGCATTTTGTGGAAACAGCAGAGATGAAAAACCATAAGCAAAATGAAGTGGTGCTTTTAAGGATGGTTGCATTAGGGCCAGTAAACCAGACTCAGCTAGTGAGCCTGCTGTGGAACCACCAGAGCACTGTCATAAAGGAGACAAATACCAAATTTGCTTTATTTCAGAGTTTTTCTTCAGTGTGAGGTGATTCTTCTAGTGAGGAGACAGCCTAGGTGATCTGAAGGAAGAGCAAAATGGGGCAAAACCATATCTTGCCACAGGTGTGAAGGAAGACAATAGGAATGGCAGCATTCCCCTCAACTCATTTTCCCATCTGTTTTCCTGGCTCCTCTTTGATTTAGTGGAATTTTTGTAGTACAGCTGGCAGTCATCAGAAAGGAATGTCTGTGTGTTGATTTCTTGCTTGCTTGTGATGGTATTCTGCTGTGATGTAAAGACAGATATGAAAGATGCTTTCAGCATAAAAAGCACTGGCAGGTGTCCTCACCTGATAAAGGTGACTCAAGTTCTACTGGGAAGTCCAGCTAACAGTTTATGCTGACTTCTTTAAAGAAAAAATAAACCATAATGCAGTCTTAGGAGCTGATAGGAAGTCAAGATCATGACTTGTAAAGCAGGAAAGATAGCAGAATGAGACTCATCCTTCTCCCTGCCAGGCTGCCTTTACCTTGTTTTGCAGCTTGATATCAGCCTCCTGGAATAAATATCTGCTTATTGTCCAAAGGGCAAAACCTTGAAAATCTAGTGGCAATTGGCCATAGGGCTGCAATTCTGAAAAGAAGCTGAGCTAGCAGGGGCTAAGGGCTTGTTCTAGGCAGGACTGGATACTTTACCAAAACAGTTTGAGCTCTCCAGGAACAGTGAAATTCATATGCTAAGCACACCAGAGAACAGTCAGCTAAATGACATTGGGCAGCTTGGAAAAGCTGAGAGAGGTTGGCTGTTTACTTGGACAACTTTGATGTTTACCACAGAGAGACTGGTTGATTAATTTTGGTAAATGCCTACAATTTTACCTCTGGATGTATATCTGGGGCAAAGCTCCTTTCATGTGTGTTAAAAGCTTCTTTTCTTTTGCCTTTCTTCTGTGTAACAAAAAAACCCAAACCAAAACAATCCTATCCTGCAAGCAAGAGAGAAAATGAAACCAGGCAAGGACCTGAATGGGAGGGAACACCACCAGGAGGCTGCCTCTGCCTTTCTGCTGTGTTCAGGGGTTTACACTGAGTTAGAACCTGCTGCAGTACCAGAGCAGACCGGCACACCAACCAGCCTGCATGACAGATGTGTTGGAATCCAGGGGAGGTTTTGTCTGGCCACAGTACAGACTTGGAGCCCCATTTCCCAACCAGAAACTTGCAGCTGTGCTGCACAGGAGCTGTCGGTCTCTGCTGGAAGAACAGTGTGTGAGCCATCTGGAACTTACTGCCTTCTGGAGAAATTTGTTCTCATCACCCAAATCCCAACAACGTACACGTGTCTAATACTTGTTTGAAATTGATTTCCAGCCAAGAAATACCCCGTTGTCCCATGTTCTGTGGGATGATTCTGTGCTGGAAGTATATATTTTCTTTCAAGAATGTATTTAAATAGCTTTTATCCCTCTTATTCCTTTATTCCTCTCTCTCACACACACATATACAGTAAAGCACAGACTGTTTCTTTCATGCTTCTCTAGAAGAATATAAACTCTGAATTTTCTCGTTATTTTCACTGATGGAACAACCCAAATAGAATATAACATTCCTACCCAGAGTGTATTGGTAACATCAAACCTGCTACTGTTGTATTTTCCAGTCCTTTCCATCCTGTTTATTACGTGGTCTGATGCTTCTAGCAGCTGCTGTGGTGCCAAACTGAGCAGACACACACTGAGGGATCTAAACTGTCAGCCAATTCCTCTGTGTGTGATTGCAATTTAATTAGCACCCAGCAAGCTGCCTGAACAGGTGAAGTGATTCTTTGTGGTATTTGCCCCTTTGTGCTGTCAGTATTGAGTTTTGAATCGTTCCATAATTTTTCATTACAATAATCCCTTTTCCATCTTGTTACAAGAAGGCCAACAAATGTAAATGCTTTTAAGCCTCTACGTGGAGCTGGAATGCACCTTTTGGTGTTGCCTAACATGTATGAAAATGTAGATAATGAAACAGTTCTGGAAGGTAGGATAAATGAGCAACACTTACAGGGTCAACATTCCCAAAAGCAGAGTTATGTGTGGATGGAAGTCTTAATGACAATGGGAGGACAGTCTGCACATGTGAGATGCCTTGTTTTCAACTCCTTGCTTTCATAGGTATACATGTGATATGTTATGCATAGATAAATGTTTATCATAAACAAAAGAAATTTTTAAATATATATGTTTAAAAATATATATATATATATCTGAGCCTGACAGAAGACTCCAGGCATTAGAGCCTTTGCATTGCTGCTGCTCTCCCTTCCCTCCCATACACAGCATGTGTACAATTCCCCTCTTCTCTCCCTTTTCAGATGCAACCAGTTGGACAGAAGCAGCCTTATGGTGTCACAAAAATTGTTGAGGTCCAATGTCCATCTCAGGTAAAAGGGCTTCCTTATCATTTTGAGATTTTATTCACTCTGCAGAATTTCCAAGTTTCCAAATATTATTGTTGTTTTCTGAAGTTCTTGGGAATATGCATCTGCCCAAGATATTGTGCTGCTAAAAACTGAGTGTTCTTAAAGTTCGTTGACACAGACTCTTTATTTTATACAGATGAAACTGAAAACAAGAACTTGTGAAAAAAATCAGTTAAATCATCTGTGTCAGATTTTTTTGATTCAAAACATATCTAGCTAATCTGAATTTACTAATTGCAGGTATGAGGTGCATTATCAGTGTTAAAACATCTCACAAATAAAATTGATTCCATCTATTTTATATAAGCTAGACTTTCCGTGATTTGACTCTGCTGCCAGGTTTACCTGTTCCACTTCCTGGAGCTGTCAATAGTCCAGTAATATCTTCAGGATCTGAGCATCTCAGGTTCAAAGAACAGGTTCTTGAATGTTTTTGCATTTAAACTCTGACTTTAATAATTTGATAATGATAAAATATTACTGGCATCCAAAAGCTGCTAAACAGCAATTAAAACATCAAGGAAATTGAATTCTGTGTTTTGTTTGATGTTAGGTTTAAGGCAAGAGGTGGTGCTGTGCCTAGAGCATACCTAGGGCAAAGCTCGCGACCAGGGCTTAACTTTCAGGTCTAACCTGGTTCACTTCACTAATGCAATGTTCATTCAAAAATTAATACTGTAAAGATTAATTTTTTTCTCTTTGAAAATGTAGCCAAAATACTTTAACATCAGCTGACTCCGTTTCTGCTAGTGTTGGTAAACATGCTCTCTTCACTCTGCAGGAAAATCCGTATTTGTTTACATATAGAAATAGTAATTATTCATCTTCCCTGAAGACATCAAACACCAAAGAAACATCTCAGGTACAGTAGGACTGTTTGCATCAGGTGGACTGAGTGTATTCCAGGGAATGGGGCAGGTGGCAAGAGTGTGTTGTAGCCTAAATTAACAGTGCTGCCTGGGAAAACTAAATACAAAGTTCCAGCTCTTTGTTTCCATGCTTGACTAAATAGTCAGGTGCTTAATTGCACATTTTCTCCTTGATGGGTTTTAAAGAGTAGGTCTTAGTAGATTTGAAGTAGATGTGTTCAGCCACTCTAAAGTAAGTAAGTCTTGCCTTTACTGTTAAGAACCTATGTTAAACATCTGGATAATAACGTTTTTTTTCCCTGGGATAAGAAGATAGTGGAAATGGGACTGTTTATTCCTACCATGGAGGAAACTAGATCAGATTTGACCACTATGTGGGTCTAATTTCATCTCATTTACACCATAGTAAAACTGAAGACTAATGGATTTATTTTTTTTAATGCGGTAGTTTCAGATTAGATGTGTGGAGAAAAACAACCACGATTGTAATTTTTAAGTCATCGTACTCTGATTCTGAGCAGAACTTGGTGTTCCCAAGCAGCTACAGAGGGAGGTGATAATGTTAATTTTAATGCCTCAGAACACGGTGTCTAGACCATATCTGCACTCAAAATGGCCTGTTCATCATTGGAATTGTAACAAACTTTGCTCCTCTCATTTTAACATAATACCATCTGCTTTGTTAGTTGCTTGGGGTGTATAGACCTCTCCATGGGGCAATGGTACCTACCACTCTGATTTTTGGAAGTAGCTGTAGTGTAGGAGGTGTAAAGAAGGCAAGCAGCAACACTGTTATGTTGGTGGTCGTTTGGTTAGGGCTAGTTAATAAAAAATTAAAACCCCAAACGAGAACAATGGGACAAGACACACAAGTATCTTTTCCTTAGGCAAGTTAGCCTATATAAGGCGTTCTGCTGAGAGATTTGGAGCAAAAGCGTATTTTTGGGTCTTATGTGGTGGTTTCCTCTGATATACTGATGGTCAACCTTCACTAACAGTAGACCTTGGTGAGTGTTTCTGACACTAGGCTGCAACCCGAGAGCCAGGAGGGCAAATCTCTGGCTGCACATACAGGGCTGCATATGGAGAAGACAGGCTCTTGACCTCCTGGCTAAGGAACAATTTTGTGCTGGGATACTCAAACAGTTTCTTGCAATAAGATATTCAGAGTATGGGCACACAGAATGTTGCATAGCTGAGCACAGCATGGCACAGAATTTGAAACAGTTGTGCTAGTAAGGCCATAAGAGTTCTGAGCAGGCTGAGTTTGTGTCTGCCTTCAAAAAGCATAGACTGAGGACAGGATGAGCTGGGTAGTTGTATACGAAGTATGTGGGAATTTCATTAATCTAATGCTCTGACACATAAATGTTTTATCACAACCGGAGTATAGTGAGACTGATGTGAAATCTTGCCCTGTCTGTCTTTGCAGGAGAGAAGTTATGGAACAAATATTCCCTGTACTGACCGGGATCCATCTGATACAGTTCCGGTTTCAGGTAAAGTCCTATGCATTTTTATCATAGAGCTACTTCATATGATGATAGAGGGACAACAGGAACTGGGTTCCTGTCCAGTCAGGAGAAGTACTCTTTCCTTTGGAGTAGTGCTCTCTGTTGACTGTGGCTTTTAAGATCCTTTTTGGAACAATGTCAGTAGTTGTATAGCAAGATACAAGTTCTCCCTCAAGGATGGTGATAGCTTATGCAACTACACCTTCCATGTACAAACAAAGAAGTGACAGTGGAAAAGGCAGGAGGCAGTCAAGTCCTTCATTTGCAGGGTGGCAAAACTGTAGGGGCTCTTGTTACTGCACTCTGAGGTGGAGTTCTGTCCTTAAGTCAGTTTTGTCTTACCTTCGAAGCTGTAATGGTTCCCAAATATCTGTTCTGTGCTGGCACCAGAGCTGTACCTGCTTTTCAGTTGTTTTCAGCAGCTAAAAGGAATCTGAGTAACAACAGGTGCAAGACTGAAACCTTTCTGTCTCCTTTGCCATTGTAGCTATGGCCCAGTTGTGGTACCAAGAATCATTTCTGTTTAGATGCCTGTCAGTGTCTGTGATTCTGAGCTAATGCTGTCATTAAGATTAAAAATACTGTCTTTGCAATGCTTTATTATGCCTATCCTTAGGAAAACTTCTGACAACCATCACAATTTGAAGTTTTCTTTCTTTCCTCTTTCCCTTACACCACCTTTATTTTTTATTTGTTAGTTCATAATTTGAAACCGGCAGATATTCGGGTGATTGCCGCAGTGGGAGATTCGATCACAGTAAGTAAAGATCACTGGATAACCATCAATAAAACTAGCAGTGAAAAAAACATTTCTGAATTTTTAACACATTCTGTTACACTCTATAGAGGCAAACACATTTTTCCCATCATCTTTTCCATGCTCCACCTTGGCTGGCTGATTGGCAGTCAGATTATGAGTCTAATCTGAGTGCACCGTTCCCATTTAAAGTCCACAACAGTACCACACAAGGAGGAGATGAGAGATTAGATTGTGCAGTGGCAAAACCAGCCTGCTAGAGTGGACTTACAATGATTGCTCTCGTTTATTGATTCTAGGCATCTCCCAAAGTATTGGCCTTGAAATCTGTTAGTAAGCAGCATGAATAGAAAGAAAAAGTTCTGCAGCTACTTGTGTATATCTGTGTATCTCTATATGATAAATATTTGTGATAATACCAAAGCCTATAAAGCCATATTAATTTATACTAACTAAATATTCGAGTAAAATTGCATTAGAACATCAGGTGTAACTTACCTTTAGATATTTTTTTAAGATTATTCCTGGAACTATATAAACTTTTTACTCCTAGACTGGATGTGATTCTCCAATTAGTGATGACTGCTTCTCTGCTCATATTATAATTCATGTTTCTTATGTGTTCTGTGCTAATTATTAAATCTTTGTAGTCTTCCTTGGAGAAACTGAGAGAGGGAAGACATAAAATCACTCTACCACTTTTCATTGTGAGGAACATTTAATAAATTATTCAGAACCATTGCTATCTTATTTCTTCCTTATCTAAGTTTAGAATTATATGAATATTTTGAACATTCTCTACCAATTTTTCCCCACTTGATCTAATCACAAAGTTGATAGAAGAGGGTAATTCACTGAAATAGAGTGAATAAAATACCTTTAGCCCTTGATCCTCTTGAAAACAAGGATTTGTTCTATTTTGGGAGGATGACATAGCTTGCTTGGTTAATATGCTTTTTAATTCTTTTCACTACGATCAGTCAGAGAACTAGTTACTGTAGCAAAGTTTATTTTCTGAAAGTGAACTCCTCTTCTGCTTCCAGGCAGCTAACGGGGCAGGGTCCAAACCCCATGATGTTCTGAATGTCCTGGTTCAGTACCGAGGTCTTTCTTGGAGGTGAGTCACAGGAATTTCCTCCCAGTGAGAGGGAATCCATTTTCTTATGGTTTGATTTGTATAGTTGGTTTTTGTACTAAATGGAGGCTTGGAGAGACTGAATTTGACTTCACATTTTGTGCGGAGGCACATGGCTGTACTATTACTCATGATAAATAAAATATTCAAACTAGTGGCTATCTAGAGTACAATGTAGCACGGCTGGAGTAGACCTGGGATCTTTGTTAAGACGGTCTTCTCTCCTCTCAGGGTTGTAGCTACTGCAAAGGGGACTTTTTAACCCCAGTGCCATTGCACGGCTTGCTCATTCTGTGTTCCTGTCCCTGCTCTTTCTATATCCTGTCTGCTCTTGCCCAGTGTGACCCATAGCACCCATTTGTCTCATTTAAAATTAGTGGTTTACAAAAAGCCAAATGGGATCTTTCTTGCTGCTGCTGCTTTGTATACAGGATTTATTTCCTTGATCCTTTTCCAGTATTGTTTACATTATGTGGGACAGTTTAATTACGAGTCAATACTTTTATGAGTCAAAGACTTTTACATAAGCAGCATGTTGTTAGACATGTCAAAAAGACACTCTGAAGAAAGGCAACCATGTTTGTTTGTTATTCTGCAGCTGTAAGATTTAACACCAAACCTGTCAGACTGTTTTCTGTTCATCATTTCTTACCAACCTAAACCACTGCAGCTCTAGAAGTTTAAACATGTTCATAGAATCACAGAAAGGTCTGGGTTGGAAAGGACCTTAAAGATCATCTTGTTCCAAGCCCCATGCCATGGGCAGGGACAGTTTTCACTGGATCAGGTTGCTCAGAGCCCCATCCAATCCAGCCTTTAACACTTCCAAGGATTGTTCTAGTGCACTTCAAAATATTCTATTTCAGATGAAAGGGATACTGGAGACATGTTCTAAGTCAAACATTGTATATTTTGATCTTTAATAATAATCTACCGAAATTTTAGGGGAAAAAATGTGTGCTAGTATATTCTATTCTACAGCATGAAGGAGAGTAAAGAGCACAAAGACCTAATGGTGAATTTTACCAGTCTAGTAGTATTCTTCCACTTGAGTCAAATGGAAGCAAGGGGAGGCAAAGGTATTGATTATACTTATTACTCTGAAATATATGCTTCTAGAACTTCTTGTTACGGACACAAAAGTTTTGTTAACTGAAAGTGGAAATAATAAATATTTTAACAGGTGCAACAATAGCAAAGACAGCAGCTAAAAAAAAAAAAATAATTTCTTTCAGCTAGGTTTGAACATATGCCAAAACATGTGAAAGAGTTGTAAGGACAGGTAGTGTAGCGGGCTTCTAATACGATTGTCATGATGATGGCAGTGTCTCTGATGTTTCTGGTGTCGTGACCCCTTGGGTACGCACACCAGGAGCTGCTTCGGCTTAGCACGACCGCGAGAGTGTGCTGTGTACATCTGCAGAACCCCCAAAAGGGGGCGGTCTCTTACCTGGCCTGCTGCCTTACCGAGTCCATCCTACCTTGGAACACTTTTTTCCTGTTCTTTCTTTTTAACAGTGTTGGAGGAAATGAAAACATAAGCACAGTCACGACACTACCAAGTAAGTGACTTTCGTCCTAAATTTGATAAATATCGGAGCTGTTTATCATTAAAACACCTGCTATTATAAGAGGAGACACAGGAAAGAGTTATAATTTGTAGCATGACACAACCAATCCCTTTGTGTTTAATGTCCAGTCCTCAGTAAAGGTTGCATAACAAACCGACTATAATATGCTGTGCATGTATTTTGTAATTGTTAGGGTTTGGTTGCTTCAGTATTCTTCTGTTGGTTATAGTTCTGTCCAATATATGCTTGGGGTAGATGAATCAAAAATCTTAGCTCATAGCCTAAAACTATTTTGACTGTATGAGAAAGTTGTTTCAGGCAGGAGCAGAATCACATTACAAGATCAGATTTTACATGCTTTTTAAAGGTCAGGACATTTTAGATCTGAGGTGTTTGTCAGGCTGGTTTGTAACCTAAGATCTAGAAGGGAATCTGGGGTCTTTGGGGTTAATACATCTGGGGAGATTGGACTAAGGGATTTGATTCCAAACCATTTGCAGTTAGAGCATGATGGCATGAGAATCTCCTGCTTGAGTGTAGGGTTACCCAGCCTCACTTACCAGGCAAAGTGGTGCTGCTAGCCAAGATGATTGTGTTAGGTGATCAGATATCTGAGTTCATGAAATTCAGAGATCTTGAAGGCTGGGAAATAGTTGTATGGTGATGGATCTCCATGTTTGTTATACTTAAAGATGTCTGGTGGTTTTTTTTTTTAAGGTATCTCCTAAAGCTTTTTAATAGTCGTTTACTAAGGTCTAATCTTCATAGCCTCATTTGCTACCTGCTGTGGGAAGCAACATTGCAGGGTGCTGTCTTTCTCTGCAGATATTCTTCGTGAGTTCAACCCAACCTTGGTAGGGTATTCCACTGGCACTGGATCGGAGAATTCACAAAATGCTGCACTCAACCAAGCCGTGGCTGGTGCTCGTGCAGAGTAAGAGGAAAACTCTTTTAACTTTACTAGAAATTTGATTTTTTTTTTTTTCTGAAAAACTCTTTTGTGACTAAAAAAGCCCAATTCCTGGACTTTGGCAGGAGCACAATAAGTCAGGTAGGCAAACCCAAAGACATTTCTTTAGCCCAACTTTAGCATGAGGGCCATGAAATGTGATGAGCACTTTGCAGTGTTTCTAATCTATGTCAAATAAATTAACAACAAAAGCAATACTTTCTCCAGGATTTTCAACCAAGAAAGCCAAAGCACTTTACCAGCACTGATCATAAAGCTTCACATCCCTGTCCTGTTGTGAGTCAGAGAAAATATATCCCCATTTTATGGGAGGTATATTCAAATGTTCTTGTCAGCAGGACCAAGAGTTTGTGTAGAGACACTAAATAAAAATTGTGGGTTGTTTAATTCCTGGTCTGGCAGAGCTGGGAATTAACTGGAGATCACTATGCTCATTCTTCAGTACAATTTTTAAACTACTTTTTTTTCCATTGGAAATGTTTCTTATAAGATGAATTTCAGTGGCTTGAGGCCTTATAATAACACTGATATATGCACAGATGATATGTGTATTGACAGCATCTGTCTGATGCTGTGAAGAAGAAAAGTGCATTTACTGTATATCTTGTAGAAGCGTAACTATGCAGCATTTGCAGAGTACTCGAGTGCCTGTTGGATGCTAATTATTTTTTTTTTTCTTTAATCATCACTGTCTCAGAATATAGCCTATTTTGGTCATCATATATTCCATTCAATGAGTAGTTGACTTTCTCAGTGGTTTTTAGCCATTATATGAGGGATGTCTGTTCATCAGCTTTCCTCCTTGTCTTGCTGGCTACGCAGGATTCCTTTTTTATTTTCATTATTTTACTTTTGTGATTTTACTTTTATTTTTAGAGATGTTCCTCAACAGGTTAGAAAACTGGTGGACCGCATGAAGAACAATACTGTGAGTTTAACCTATCATTAATATCTTTATAATGAAGTTACACGAGTTACACGTCATCATGATTTCTAGCAGACCAACAGCAGATGCCAACAGTGAATGTCAAACATAAAGCTGTAGGTACAGCAGTGTACAGTGTAATCCTTCCCGGTACACAGTGTGAGTCAGCACAAAATAATCTGTGACTTTCTCTTAAATTAATTTGTATCAGCATGGGATAGTTACTATCAAACACGCCTAACTGTGACCTTCTTATCTTTTTTACTGGAAGTGGTTATAAATTCAGTGCTGTCTTTTCCACTCCCAACCTATGTCACCCTGTGAGATGACAGAACTTTCTTTCTATGAGGATTTTGCTGTGGTGCTATTAATTATCTTGTAAGCAGATGGTTTTACCAGCAATAATGATATATGCTAGCATGTTGAGGGCAAGCTTTTCAAGTAGCAAATCATGTGGAGTGAACATGTGAAGTGCAGAAGGGACTTGTTTTCTTTAAAAATATTTTAGTCCCTTCTTTCATCTAGTCATCAGCTGATTTTTGACTTACATGTTTGTTGTTAGGAACTATTTGATTAATGGTCTGTAAAACACATATTAGGCTGAGGATTGCTTGCATATTTTTCACCTCAGCTCGTGTTTGAATGTTTGCTATTTCTAATTTGACAAATGTGCTATGCAATCACTGACCTAAGTTACATTATAATAGTTTGGCTTTCCAATTGTGCATTTGGAAAGCGGCCAAAAAGCCTTCAAGATAACTCTGTGTGAATGTCTAGTGTAAATACTCTGGTGCATACATATTGGCAAAAATATTTGCAGTACCTTTCTTTTCGGTTCACTTTCTTGTAAACAAGATTTCGATCTGATGGCTGTATCTGAAATGAGATTAAAAAGAATAACAACTAACAATGAAGGGGTTGGATGGTTTTCATTCTAACAATTCAAGGCCTCTAAGCACTATTCTGTCGTATTTACCAGACTGAGAATGTTTTACAACAGAAATCAATGCAAATACCTTTTGTTTAAATAGTAAACATTTTTATTTAACTAATAAACTTCTTTCTGGTAGAGGTCATATACCTTCGATTTAAGAGCTCCTTTTTTTCCACTCTTTTTAGAACACCTGTTTTTTAAAAGGAGGAAAAAATTCCCCTCTTGTAATTTGGATAAGTACGTTTTGACACCAAGCTACTGAACAGCATGTTTACTAGCTGGGATGTGTTGCCTCCTGAGTTTGGAGAAAGATGTTTTTAAACCACTTGAGGCCAACATTCTATTGCTGCTTTCCTTACTGTTTTGCACTGAAATTAAAGCATTAGGATACTGAGCACAACCACCACTAAATGGTACTAAGCATATATGAACCTTTCCTCAAAACTAAGAAGGTGTTTATTTACAGTAGCATCACCTTGATTTAGTTATCTATCCCTTTGCAAAATCCATCCAGAAGAAAAAAAGTGATTTAATTTTTTACCATTATTGTTAGATAGAATTAATATTGCCCCACTATTCTTTACCGTTTGTCTCAGAGCAAGACTGAAATATATTGCCCTCCAGGGTTTTCCAGCAGGATAGCTGCAATACTTATGACACAGTAAACCACATACCATAATTTTTGCAGTGAAGATATATTTCTAGAACTGCAGGAGGAGTCACTCTGTATACACAAGATATTACTAAGAAAAACATATAGACGAGATTTTGAGCAACAGTTTTCTGAAGCAAATAATTTTGCATGATGCCACTGATATTGTAAACCTGGTTTAGATCATAGTACTTTGTACATCTTCAGTCATGACTAACAACTTTTTTTTTTGTGGATGCTTAGAGAATGATAGCCAGGTACTCTGAGAAATGGGAAAATTCTATTTAGTGTGTTGCCTGCCTCTTCCTCCTTTTTTTTAGTTAATAACTTTTATTCCATCTCCTTCTGTGTGCAGAGAATAAATTTTCAGACTGACTGGAAACTCATAACACTTTTCATAGGAGGGAATGACCTATGCAGCTTCTGTGAGGATCCAGTAAGTTCCCTGCTGCCTGCAGCATGAACCAGGCATAGGGTTATTATGCATCGTACGGGTGAGAGGGAGGAACTCAGTGGGTAAGACCAAAATAAGGTAGGTCTTGGTTGTGCTGCTGTGGAATGTAACTGTACTGAGACCTACAGATTGTCCAGCGTGGTGTTTTGATAAAGTTGGCGATATCTTTAGAACACCTGTAAATTACATCATTGTTGCTACTTTTTGTTTTGCTGTTAACTAAGGTTAACTTTTTGTTGCGTAACCACTTTACTTCCTGTGGTTAAAAGGTTAAGAGTTTTTGCTCCTCTCTGCCTTGTGCGCAGTCACACTCCTGAGTCTTACTTGATGCTCTCTTACCATTTTCAGTACTATGCGAAAGGTTCTAACCACAGCTTATGCTAATGTAATTATATATAATATAGTATATATTGTATATGCATATAATATACATTCTGTATCTAGCCCTTGATATGTGTGGAGGAGGTTAAAGGCTGTGGCAGACTCCTCACTTAGGGATGAAGATTACCTACTTACAAGCAGTTGAGCACATACTTTTCATTTTGCATGATTAATTTCAAATTGTGAAAAATAGCAAAGCAGCACAGTAAGTTGGTTGTAAAACAAGGAGGGAACAAATTAAACATTCCTACCTTCTGCTCCTGACCCAAATGCAAAATGGCAACTGCACATAACCGGGGCGAGTAGCAAGGAGATAGCATGTCCCCACCCAAAAATCACAATAACCTTCATGTTGCACAAATACAAATAGTGCCAACCACAATGCTCTTGTTGAGTTGTGGTTTAGGAAATGAATAAGGGATCTGAGCTGTCTAGTTCTGTAGAGCTGGCAAGTGGGGCTCTCAAGGAACTTCTCCTTGAAATTAAATGAGAGAAATAAGGCTGAAAATCAGACAAATGTTTCTCATAAGAAAGTTTATTTGACTGTTGAATAATTCCTCAAATGAAAAAAAAAAAAAGTTGGATTACTTGAGATGATAAAATTAGAGGCTTTAAACCACTAAAATAGAGCAAGGAAATTTTGGCACTGAAAATATATGGAGTTATTTCATTCTCAGATAAACACCTGAGTTTTGCCAGCTGTTGTTTGTGGCAGGTAAGGAGCATATGGGAGACATGTTCTAACATTCCATGTAGCAGCAGCAAACTTACTTTTACACAAACTGTTTTCTCCAAAATATGGTCCTTGTTAGTGAGTTACTAGCCATGCTTTTAAGACCAGTCCAAGCAAGCCTGGGCCTTGAGGATGTTGTGATGTCTGATAATATCCCCTGAATTTTCACCCTTACTGGTGTCCAGTGACTGCTAGATCTTTTCTTCCAAGTGAGAGACCTGTGATGGGAATGAAGAAAAGCAGAGACAGGACAGTTTTCCTATGACTCTGTTGACTCAAGAGTTAGAAACATCAACACTGCTATGAGAGACTCTAACTAGTCACTGTTGTGCCTGCCTCCATAAACTGGAAATAAACTTCAACCCTCTTGCTTCAACAGGCTCACCATTCTCCTGAAAACTACACCTACAATCTACAAACAGCTTTGGACTTACTTCACAAAGAGGTAAATCAAACTTTTCTAGTATTTGGGAGCAGGGATTGTGTTCTGGTTGCAAAGCAGTCGTTGTTTATTGATTAAGAATTTGTGTTGTTGCTTCCATCTGCAGAGCACTGCTGTATGCAGAGGTGCTTGCTTGCAGGAAAATCTTTGTGAAAGACAAAAAAGACTGGAGAAGTAAAATACTTACAAAAATATTTACAAAGGCTAGAGAAGTATTTGGTTCTAGCTGATGTGCTGTGGATAAGTACTGTAAAATTATCGTAAAAAAATGTTATTCACTGATTAGAAGATGTTTTGCTTGTTCATTAAGCTGCAAATAAATATGGTTTTGTGGTCATTAAGAGAGAGGTTTTGATATTCCACATAAGGGTAAGAATGATGAGAGTACCTGAAGAACTTGCAGGTGTCTGAGTCATGCTAAGACATACAACAACTCTTTTGGCCCTTTTTGAAACCATCATTTTCTAGTGACCATCCACCAATATTTAAAATAGAACTAGGTAGTGCAGGCAGGGGCTGTAATTTAGTATTGTATGTGTGGGGAATTAATTATTGAGAAAGTACTTTTGGACACCTCTGTTATAAATAATGTAAGCTGCTTGAATCATCAGGCTACTGCCTGAGGTTTGCTGGGGTTGTGCAGGGGCAAAAGCAGCACTCTGTGCTCCAGGAGTTTGCTCTGAGTTTGCTTATTCCCTTGGCAGGTTCCACGGGCATATGTGAACCTGGTGACAATACTTTCCATTGAAACACTCCGGGAGCTGCACGCATTGAAAAACAATAGCTGTCCAAAATTGCTTATGAGGTTTGAAGATTATTTATGTTGCAGCTCTCATTTTTGCTCACAGAAGGCTGCAAGGTCTTCCTGGGAAACTTTTTTCTTAAGGGGAAAAGGTTCTAATATTTCAGACCACCAAACACCTTCCTCTGTGCATGTACCTACATTTTTATTTCATCGCAGCATTTAGAAATACCCGTCTGTCTGTCAGTGTCTCTGTATCTGAGCCTTGCTGCTACCACTTTTAATGGAGGTGCTATTTTAATGACTCACCACTAACCCTGCAAGTGAGTTCAAGCCAGAGCAGAAAGAGCTCAACTATGCACTCTTTGGCAAAGATAGAGAAGACACTAAGACACAAGGGTTTTTTTTTTTTTTATTTACAGATTTACCTTTCTGCGATCTTAAAACTCTCCCTCTTGCTTCTGTAGTTTTCAATCTCTGTAATCTTGTTGCTGATTATTACTTTTATTGCTAATTAGTCTCTCAAGTAGATGTCAGGGATGCTTAATCATACCACACGTTGCATTATGGCTCAGCAGTCCTCCCAAGTCAGGGTGAGTCCACCCCTGAAGTGACAGGTCTGCACCCTCAGTGGACTTGAGGTCAGTCAGCTAGGGTCCAGCATGTTCCCACAGACTTGCTTCTGGCAGGACTTGCTTGGTTTCAGAAAAGCAAATATCTACTTTTCTGGACAGAGAGGGAGAATAACCTTGCCCTGTGTATGTAGACAGCCACTGAAGGTGGTTTTGCAGGAGGAACGTATATGCAACCCTGTTGCTCTGATTTAAGGGCTCTCTCATGGCTGTCCTTGGAAAATTAGTTTTGAAACTCAAACTGCTGGTGCTCTGACATGAGTCCTTCAGAAGCGTGTGTCCACAAGTGTGTGTTCCTTCCAGGAGTGCCTATTCTGCCATGGGGCACCTCCTCCTCACCCCCACTGTTCTCTCCTCCTCTCCCTCTCTGATGTTTTCTGCCGTTTCTTAAGTAGGTTTTTACGGAGGCACCACCATGTTGGCTGAGAGGCTCAGCCATGCCCTGTGGTTGGTTTGTTGAAGCTGTGTCCAGCAGTCACTGCTGGCCCCTCCTCACAGAGGTCACTCCTCATGTTGAAACCTTGCCATGGGTACCTAGTACAGTTTTTGCTTTGGAGACTTTTCCTCTCTTTATCTTTATTAATTTATCCCAAATAAATGTGTTTCTGCTCAAGAACTGAGACTGTGCAGAAACTCTAATGAGAGCTAATATTCTCATTGAGTGGCCTTTCAGCGAAATCCCTCTCAGAGCTTTTAATCCTGTGGTTTGTCAGTTTGGGAAGAGGGGAGGGAAAAAGAAGAGCAAATCTCAGCACAACGCTCTTATCCCACAGGATCCTGTGCCCTTGTGTCATAACCCCTAAGGACAACTCCAATGAGTTGAAGAGGTTGATCTACTTTAACAGAAGGTATCAGGTAAGGCACATGGCATTTGTTACAAGTTCAGTGTCATCCTCCCGTTGACCAAGGGACCACAGATGGGCTAATATTTGGAAGTGGAGGACAGTTGCCTCTCATTTTAATGACATATTTGTAGTTGCGATTAAAAAAAAAAAAAAGAGGGGGGAGATAGGAGTGGGCTCAAATTCTTTGCAACTCTATTGCCCTAAACCAACAAAACAGATTAAAAGAAAGCCATAGAGAGGCTTTGCAGAGCTATAGAAAGTAGAGTATGTCAGAGAGGGAGCAGGTTTTTTATCATTTATGTTATTTGAGATCAGATGAAGTCAAACAACATGTTAACTCAGGAACAAGCTTTCAGACATGGCATGTCAGGCAAACCAAAAACGCTTTGGTGGTTCTGGAAGATCTTTTTGACAGAAAACCTAATTACTGAGCAGGCTGCCAGTCCTTGTAAGTCAGTCAGCCATTCCTGGGCTGTCTCTCTGCAAAGAAGCCCAGGGTGCATATCAAAAAAAGGCAGCTGCATTGACTGCCTCATGCAAACCAGAAACTGTGGTCACATCTGGGAGTGGGAACTCCTGGGCGAAATGTAAATGGATGGAATGACTTGATGAGATGAACAAAGAAAAAGGAATTATGACAACTTTTCTTTAACTCTTTAGGAAAGAACCCGCCAGTTAGTGGAGAGTGGAAGGTATGACACTAAGGATGATTTCACAGTGGTTATGCAGCCATTTCTGACTAATATGGACATGCCAAAAACACAGGTAAAACCAACCAAAAATACACACGTAAAATTAAATCCTGGTGCAATTCCTCTGACTTGTCAAAATTGTCTTAGCAGGTCTCTTACCTAATAGTAATTATTACATTCAGTTAACATCCAAAATTGCAGAAAATGTTTATGGAATAATGGAGATAATGGCCAACAGGAATACTGACCTTGCAGACATGATTTGGGGCACTGCAATTTATTTCAAAGTTTTCATCGGGGAGTACTTGCTCTATTTTCCCTATGCATCAACAAGTCCTTTCCAGTACTTTGATAAATGACTTTTGGTGGGAAAACACACACGTTTCAAAACACTATAGTGTTTGACTCCCAAGGAAAGTAAAGAATACAATCAATATCTATGCCCCCGGTATTCTGTACTGGGAGCCACAGTGATCTGTATTCCTTATTACTTTGGAAATCCCATACTGAAAAGCTTTAAAAGACTTCTTAGTTCTCGATTACTAATGTTCTTAGGCCTGGTTTCATTCTCTTGGCCTTGGAGGCCTTTGCAGCTTCTTTGATTAGAAGTCAGCTGGGATATCTCACTGAAAGAGAGAAGGCACAATGCACAGCTTGTTGCATACTTACTGTCTCTGTGACAGCACCCATCTTATTCTCTAGGAGGGGTTGCCGGATGATTCCTATTTTGCCCCAGATTGTTTCCACTTCAGCCAGAAGACTCATTCCCAGGCTGCACGTGGTTTGTGGAACAACATGGTAAGATTTTTAAAGGTTGTGTTGGTCTCACCTTGTTCACTCCATCCTGCCCTTGGCAGCAAAACAAGCCCCAGGGAGCTACTAGGTCGCTAGCCATTTCTCTTCTGAATTGTGTTTACAAGGGCAAAGAGTGATCATATGAAGAAAGGTCACCTGAATTGTTAAACCAGTCATATCAAACCAGTAAATCTTAGGGTATTTTGAGGCTGGGGGTGTTGGGACTTCCCTCAGGGAGATGATGCCTGACCAGCAGGTCACGTTCATGGTATATGGGAATTAGCCCCTTCAGCACTCAAAGAAGCACTCAGAGAAGCAGTGCATGGAGGCAGCTGCCAGTGTTGATGCAATGCACTGCAATGGTCTTGCTGTGCTGCAGAGGTGGTTTCCAGTGGTTGGCAACACAGCATTACCCATTACTCTCTGATACTCATCTACTTTTCTTTTGTGCACCCTGTTTTTTCCCACAGCTGGAGCCCTTAGGGGAGAAGAGAGATAATCAGAGCATGGAAGAGGAGATTCTTCTCAAATGTCCAAATGCAGTAAGTTACAAGGGTCTGTGCTTATGTGGGGATTCTAGGGGTGGCTGGGAATCTGTGTGGACCTTTACCAACTGCCTGGAGTGCTGTCTCTGTGAGTGGGCTCTGCTCTTCCCTGTATAGTTTGAGCCACTGCCACCAAGAGCAGTATGAGCATTCCCCCATGAGTTGGAGGGCAAGCTCCTCCCAGGAGTAAGCTTCCTCACAGTCACACGTCACAACCGGCCCAAACACAAGGAAATGATGTTTGGTCTACCTAGTTAAGATTAAGTATCCACACTGACTAACAGAGCTTCAGTGGGTAGAATAGAGCAACAATGACACCAGTCAGCACAGCTCTGTAGATGTTGCTGGGGCTGCCTTGCAGTGGGACCACAAACTTCCTGTTAACCACACACAGAAGGGTCCTGAGTGAATTCTCTAATTTCTGGCTGTATAAAAATATAGTCTTAGGTTTATACTGTTGTTACAAGGCTTTTTAAAAGGCTGTTTATTTTCTTTCTCCCCCCCCCCCCTTTTTTTTTTTTTTTTTTTTAAATCCTTGAGATTTATTTGCATCAAACTACTAATCACATACAGACATCTGAGAATTGAAGTTTGGAGAATGGAAATCTCCATACATCTCTGATGCTTTGCATTGACTCAGACTGCCTTGTTTTGTAGGCTGTGCCGTTCCTGAGGACGTATAAGAACAGTAATTACACATACCCCAACCAAACTCCAGTAAGTGCCAACATCACCATCCCACTGTTACTCTGCTGTACCTGTTCCTGTATGGTAACCAAATGAGTCATGTTCTGCACCACAGGCAAAATCAGTCTTTGGCCAAAGGGGCTTGGGAGGCTGAGTGCATGGTGCAGAACAGGGACGCCCTCCCTGAGTTAGACAAAATGCATCCAGAAACTCCTGTAAGAACACATGCTCAGACAGCAGTTATCAGTTATCAGTCCAGAACGCTATGCTTTTCTGAGCAACACTGCATATGACTGTTGAATTGAGCAACCTAGACCTGTCTAGTTGATTACATGCTAAAGAGGCTCTGGTTTATCCACCTGGCCTCTGCTGAGAAGATCCTAGTAAGTACTGACTGTATTTGCTAGCCAAATGCTATTCAGCTTTCTTCTTCTCTTTAGAATTATGGGAGCCAACTGCCATGTGAAGACAGGTCCCCGTCCTCCCCTCCTGCAGCTTCAGGTAATCTTGCATGTTTTATGTTAAGAGGTTGAATTACTACCAACTGTCCTTCAAGATGAGTGTTAATTTTTGCTGAAATGACTGCTGGACTTGGAAAAACACTGCTCAGAAAGGATATGATGTTTTTCAGCAGCTACTTAATAGGTACAATGCCATGCTGTCTGACAAAGCAGCTCTGCTGAACTCACTGCCAGTAGAGAACTTCAAAGTATCTTGTGGTAAAACCCAAATCTGAGTGCTGACATAGCCTATAAGTGATACCACTTAAATCTCATGGAAAGAAACTGGAAATCCAGCTTCATGCATGTTAGTGCAGCATTCAGTTTTTCAAATAACTTCATATTATCTTCTCTTTAGTCCTCTTATGTCTTCTTACAACTCCAGTACAGTATTCCTGCTTTGTGTAATTCTATGTTACTTTACTGTCACCTTGGTGCTGGATATTGTTTGCCACTTATTGTTATTTGCTCCTTGCTCTTCTGTCTTTTCAGTAGAAATGTCAACCATTGACATATTGAATAATATGCATATGTTGCTGCTACAATCATGTGACTTGAGCTGGAAAGAGCTCCTGATTTGTCACTTGGGTATTGCAAAAACAACATGACAGAGCATCACAAGGCACAGTGGCACATTTTGCAACCCAAAGTAGCGAAAAAGAATAGCTATTTCCTATCCAGATTCAACTGCATCTCTTTCCTTTGCAGTGCATTCCCTAAAGCCAGCTGATGTGAAGATTATAGCAGCCCTTGGGGATTCTTTGACGGTAAGAAGATAGTGTTTTTACTGTTCTCTTGGTAAAATTACACACACGTGCCTGCTCCGGTGGAGGAGAAATAGCTGTTATACCTGTAAGCAAAGATCTGTTCATTCATGGATGACAAAAATCTAGCAGCTAGAACAAGAAAGGAGGTGTCAGTCTTCCAGCACTCTATTCCCCCCCCACACATATTCACGTGCTTTTGAACTTAGGCTAACACACACACAAATCCTCTGAAGAGGGGCCTATGTAGTTTGCTCAACTGGAAACAGATCAGATGCTGTTGAAACTAATAGGACATAACACAAGGTTTAGATTGCTGTGCTTTTCAAAGACTTTTCTAAATAGGAATGGACTGATGAACCTGCTCTTCTCCCTCTGTTCTTTCAGGAACAGAATGCAGCTAAGGGATGTTGAATAATAGCATTTTATTTATTTGAGCACTAATGAGTTCAGGATGTATAGAGGGAGAATCCTCTGATTTGGTGCATTTCAGAAGATACTCAAGTCTGATTTTCTTTATCATCATAAGTAGTTCTTACTGATTATGATTATTGTTGGTAGCCAGGAAGGAATATGTCTCAAAATCCAGATGTTCTATATTCCAGTTATGTCTTTCTGTCTAATGTTTTCATACTGGTCAAGGACTGAAATTCTACAGCCAGGTTAAAGGAAACACTGGATGGAAAGATATAATTGAAACATGGGTTTCTCTGAATTTGAGCCTGAACAACGAAGACAGTGTGTGGACAAACCATGAAGCCTTTACAACAATCTGGCAGACGTGTTGCTACAACTCCTACACACAGGAGGCTACAGAAATAAATATAAGCACTTGAATGCAAACCTGCAATATTAACAAATGAAAGATATTCCATATATGGTTGTGGTTGCTGTATTGTAATACCCAGAACCCTGCAGGTGTTTCTGCTTCTAAGTATAGTCTGTAGGAACTGGGAATAAAATCTGCTTTCATAGAGTGTGCAGTGATGTATTGCTGTGTAAGAGCTGCATTTGGCCTGTGTGTAGTTATTCTGATCGCCAATATTCTGTTAGTTCAATAAAGCTTATATGTGTAAGAAAATGTAGTACTATGGTTTAATCCGAGGTAGTAGCAAATAGTCTGCCTGGTCTTGTGCTGTACTGAAGTACTAACCTGTACCCAAATTTAGAATGAAACTACACAGTCACAGCTGGCAGGAAACACTGCTTCTGAATTCTGGAGGTGTTTTAGGAGGGATGTAGCTGCTAGCTTGCCTCTTTCTTCAGGGTGAGTGTAGAGAGTGCTTCCTCCTTTCTCTAGTACTGCTATAAGTGTTTCCATTTAGCACAATACTTGTCAAACTGGTATGTATGTGTTATGGTGCTTCTTTCTGATGTATGTTTGTTCTGTTGTGAGTTCATATAGTATTTCTTATCATTAGCCGGAAAGTTTCATCGGTTTGATTAAGATGTCTTCATCATTGTTGAGTAATGCAACCATGATAAGAGTTATTTAGCTCATCTAGACCCATGAGAAGAAAGTCTTTGTTCCACAGCTCCATCATACATTCTGTGTGTCATACATACAATATGATGCCTGTAAATAATTACAAAAGTTATTGTTGTGTTCTTCAGGAGAAAGGCTGGGGAAAAGCCTTCTAAAACTTCAAAAGTAAACAAAACAACTATGCAATTCTATTTAAATTAGTAAATTGTATTTGTTACATGTTTGTATTACAAATTACTATTGCATTAGTAATTGTGTTTTCATTTCATTTGGTTAATGAAAAATAATGTCCAGGCTGGTACAGGAATCACCTCAGATGGTCTAGAGGATTTGGCCACTCAATACCGGGGACTGTCTTGGAGGTAAGTCTTCAGCCAAGGTGATGAAGAGATATGTATTCTTTCCTGTAAATAATAACTATTCTCTTGAACACATTTTGGGTCTTTCAGCTGTCAGGAAGTTGGAAAAAAAAAAAAAAGGTTGCTTCTCAGTCTAGAGTTTCTTGAGAACAGGCATCAAGATCCAGGATTTATCGTAAAGGTGGCTTCACAGAAAGTGTTTTCAGCGATGGATTTTAAGCTAGCCTTTTGATTTTCTCTCATGCTTTCATTTGTGGCTGTTTGCAAAAGTTTGTATTTCTATGTTGGGTTGCAAGTTGGAAACCTACAAAACTGCTCAAAAATCACTGGAACAAGCCGGATCTAGTTGGTTTTGGAACTTCTCAAAGTTTTCTATTTCTGAATCTTTTGTAGTATCATGGAAAGCTGTTTAACCAGAGGACTTCTACTACGTGCAGCACACAGTTGTAAAAGAATTAAGTTGTTTCATTGTAGTGATGTAGCTCAGTTGATGTTGACTGAAGCAGTTCTGTGCTGTACTAATACCTCTGTGTAAGACAGAGTGTGGCCTCAGTATGTCCTCAGTCAATAGGAAAGCTGGAGAGAACATATCCATCTTCAGAAAGAAGGAAAAGAGCGAGGAGCTGCTGTTGAAGCTCTCTTGTCACCCAGGGGCTGTCTGGTTTTGGTGTTGCCTTAAAGTGGCTTGATGAGGCTGGAGTTGGCCTCAAAGCTGACCTACTAATTTGCAGTATTTAAGGGCTTGATCATTTGAGTATGTACTTATCTCAGGTATTTTTCTGCTACTTGGTGAATGCCATTGACCATACCCTTTTACATCTGCGAGATCATGAACTCCTTCTGGCAAGCATCTTCACCACTGAAACTGCAGCCATTCTCCCTAGTAGCATTTCCACTTTTGTCCTCTCCATGTATTTTGATCTATTGATAGTTACCAAATTAATCACTCTTTGCATCTTTCCATGATGTGAGGTAGGTTTTCACTTTACTTATTGTCTGTGTCCAGATAAGAGTTGAATGACTGGGATTTCTCTTTCTCATTTTAGTATTGGAGGAGATGAGTCGTTAAAGAATGTGACAACTCTACCTAGTAAGTAAATGCTTCGCTCAATATAATTGACAAAATTGAAGAAACATAATAGACTGATTTCTGAAATTTACAGAGACCTCTTAAGTATCTCAAAGCTGGTTTAGTGTAATTAACAAGAACTCCTTTTAAAAGAAACAATGTCCTAGGACTAAGGAATAAAACGTTGCCTTCATCAGTGAAGCTGAGAGGAAGCAGCTAGAAATTTCCTTACTTTCTTTTCCCTTTCCCTTTTCAACTGCTTGGTGAGCGTTATTTGAATTTCTAAATAAGCTTGCTGTGTCCGTGCTTGTGATGCACTTAACATTTACTTTTAATAAATATTCCATCACTGTTTTTTCCAAAAAAAATGTTTGCATAGAGTAGGCCTCTTTGGTAAATAAAGCTGCCTACTCATACATGTAGCCTGAAGGGAATAATTTTAACTTTCTTTTCACTGATACCTGCAACTTTTCATAGCTCAGTCTATTGTTAATGTAAAGCCACTCGAGCTTCAGTTTGGATCAGCTGTAATAATAAAATCCCATTTGAAGAGGACCAGTAAACTGTCCTTTTATGTGTTGGCCATATTTTAAGCAGAATGTAACAAGAATATAATTAGAATAAGCAATTAATTGATTCACTGGGTCTTATTACAGTTGACAAAGCCCTCATTAAAATATGGTTAAATTCAGTCTTTGAGATTAAGATAGTTTTTATAGTGTACAACATGGCCAAGTTCACTCTCAGCTGTGAATTATCCTGCCAACTTTCTTTTGGAAAATGCTATGGAGAATGTGGTAGAACTTCATCAGAATCATGGATCTGAGTATTTGTTCTTCACATTTGTCAGTAGTATAAGATTTTGCACAGCTGTGAAGCAGACTCAGATCCTTTAGCTGAAAACAAGCTCCTGCTGGGCTGAAGGACCCTTCAGGCTTGCTTCACAAAGTCAACATTGTATTTTAGGCTTTAACCACTACAGCACGAGAGATAACTGCACACAGTAGTCCTCAATTCTGCTCATCTTATCTACTTGGTGACAGTGCAGGGCACTGCAAGCATGCCGCTGTCTGAGTCACTGCCAGCTGGTGATCCCTCTCACCACTGCTTGGTGAATCCATCTAGCTGACTGGCAGCTGCAGCAGCTGTGCTGTGCTGTCAGAGAGCAAAACTATGGCAGTGCTGGTGTGTGCTAGTCCCTGTAGGCAGAGAGCAGATGTAGTCATTTTCCCTTCATTGCCATCTTTGTTTTTCAGACATCTTTCGAGAGTTCAATGTTACAATCATGGGCTATTCAACTGGCACCGGGAGTGAGAATGATTCCAATGCGTTCCTTAACCAGGCAGTTCCTGGAGCAGAAGCTGAGTATGTAGCTTTTTGTTTCACATTTGTAGGTGATGGATGCTTCATCTAATTGCCTTTCAGCTGTCTCATGTGCTGTCACAACTTGCTCTGAAGAGCAAGCAAAACCAGTCTAGTTGAAAATTGGCTCAAAACCTGTTAAATGTATGAGTTTATTTCATAGCAGAACTTTCAAATGAAACCAACAGCCCTGGTTATGAAATCCACAAACAAGAAACTGGCAGAAACTGTTTGGTGGTTTCTACTCTTCCTCTTCAATATCTATTCATTTATCCATTTATCTGTCAATAAATCTCTGAGAATGTGAATATTTCCACAAATGTAGTGAATTGAAAATGCGAAATAAGGAGTAAAAGTAGATTAAATCTTCCATAATTCTGACCTCAGGTTTCTGGATAAGGAAGCAACAGTGAACAACAGAGAGGTGAGGAAAAAACAGCCACAGTCTAGAATATGAAGAGAATTGCTAATGGTCATACATGGGTTTTGGTGCATTGCAGACCTGGTGCATTTACAGCCAGTTCTGCCAGTATAGAAGAAATTGTAATGTCTTGCAGTCCTCTGACTTCGGCTCTTTGCTTTTAGTCACACCTGGGAGGCTGGATAGTTGTTTTGCTATACTGCTTATCCTAGAAATCCCTGGATACTTACTGAAAGTCAGTGCTGTTTAATTAACAAAAGAGATGGCTGCTTTAATTCAGTCATAGTTTGGGCACAGGTTTTGGCAGACCATGCCCGGATTTGACATCGTGAATTGATATTACCCAGACCTTAATTTGTTTGTTTAAAGAAAAATTCATCTTGCTTCCTGAAGGAGTCTTGGAATTGAAGTTCAGAAGCCTAGCGAGGTGTTTGAGTTTGCTGTATCTAAGCAAAGAATGTTAGGATTTATCAGGGGCTTTTATTGCTCTCTTGTAGGCCTTGAGCAACTTCTGACTCATTCTAGCAATTTCAGTAAATGCTTGGATTTCCTGTCAGAAATAGTGTGCTGGGTGCCCTGCTATATCCTACAGCCCCTCATAATTGAGGGAAGGCATTTTGTTTCCTGGTGATGACTGAATGTATCTGTATGTCAGTGAAATGTGCATTCAGCCATTAATGAGAATTTATTAACATACTTCTGTATGCAGCATATATCCAGATTACCTTAAAAGAATGAGATAGGTGCCTGCCTTGTATTCTGTATCAGTTAGATCCTGAACAGACTTTTTGGAGTGGTGGGAGGACTTGAAACAGGACACACAACCTCTTAAGTCACCATTATGACTTCAAGCAACTTTCATCAGCAACAACTGAGGCATTAGTATTAAATAGTAATTTGTTAGCTGTATGAAATGAGTGGATGGATGTTAGTCTAATGAAGAATTGTCTACTTCATCTAAAACAGTTAGTCTTCTCTCTTCCTGTGCAAGCAACTGGACTGGATAAACTTGATGAACTGGAGTTATCCTTGTTCTGTAACCATATTTTGTAAACATTCAGCAAGGAGATATAGACAACAATTGTGCCAGATTTCTGCTTCGTCTTCGATTGTTTCCCTGTCTCATAACTCTCTGTAGAAATGTGTGCAAAATTAATATCCCTGAGCTCTGAGATGCTTCTTTTGAGAGTTCTGTTCTGCTGTGTTTTGGCTCTTGATGTACCTGAGAAGAAGAATGTGTCCTCATTGACTATTAAAATGTATTGCAACATGCGGAAATGTTTCTCCTGCTTTAGGTATTTGGCCCTGGAATGATGACAATGCAATCCAGCATTTATTCTTCATCAGCCAAAAATATCCATTTTCCAGTGATTCATAGGGCAAAAAAGTCCACCAGCTAATCCTGATATTTAAGAATTGTTAGCTGGCCTGTCTTGCTTTATTGTGCTGATCTGGAAAGTGCTTTTCAGAGGTGTTGGCCTCTTTATGAAATCAGATAATTTTGCAACCTTACCAGCTTTTGGAAACCCCTTTGGTATAAGGATTTCTTAAAATGAGATCCACGGCTGCTCTGAAGAGCTCTTTAGTGAACTTGATGGTAACATAGTAAAGCAGGTCCCATTCAGCAAAATATTCCGAAGTCTATCTGCATTCATTGCTAAAGGGTTTTAGTACATGATGCAGTTAAGGATAGATCTGAAGAGTGTTGCTGAAACAAATCCTGGCTGAGACCACTGATTTCATATGAAAAAAAAAGGAGGTTAAGGAGAAAACCAGTGACAGAAACTGTGAATATCTGTATTTACCATTAGAAAACTGTTTCCATTGATCAAGATCTTAATTTGATTGAAGCTGCAGTTCAAAGATGGGTGATCACTGGCACTATTTCATTCAAGATACTGTTAGATCTTACTGACTACATTGGCCCAGGATGCATCAGCACCTCACTGACTGCATGAGAAATCAAATATCTTGTGGACTGTCAGATCAATAAACTGGTGTTTTCCTCTGGATCAATTTTTAAGTCAACGCCCTAGATTAGGGGTTTCCACAGAGAGAACGGAAGGAAATTGTGACCACTTGTGGCTTGTGATAGGTTTGGAATATAAATAAGTTGGTTATGACCTTGGACAAGGGTAACCGTGATCAGAACTATTACATGCATACCGTGTGTGTGTCACAAGTAGATGTATGACAGGGCTCATTCCCCAGCGGATACCTTTATGTCACTGTCAGGTCAGTGTTCAGCCAGAGGACGGTGGTGAGAGGTATCTCTTTTTCCAACAGTAAACAAAGTATTGCAAAGGAGAGCTAAACTCTGGTTGCCATGCAAAACAAGTGCCATGCTTATTAATGTCAGCTGATGTGCTCCCAGAAATGATAGACTGTCAGTGAGAGCCTGGAGGGAGGTGCAGCTCATTCCATGCTACAGAGCTGTCTGGAAGGCCAAAGCTTTCTGACCACATTCCCTTTATGTACGTTTGAGGATCAACGTGTAAGGGCAGTCAAACAAAGTTGAAGTATTCAGCCTAGGTAACCCAAAATTCATTGCACTTGAGATATATATGTGTGTATATATATATAAACAAAGAGAGAGCCCTTATCTGACTATTGAAAAACAGTGAGCCTGTCAGCTTGCCTGAGTAATCTTGAAAGTTTCTTGGATTTTTAATTACCCTGGAAAAGTTGTGTGCTCAGAGCTGTTACACATAATGGAAAGTTAAGTATTGACTCTGGATGCAGGCTACAGAAATGAGGGAAGGGTGCACAGTGAACTCTGAAACACCTAAGCTTTGCAAGGGGATGTTGCTCAAGAGGTCAGCTAGATATTGGGACTGGGTATTCCCTTGTTTTAGTCCACAAGGAATAAGTTGATAGCAGCCTAGTTCTAAACAGGCCATCTGCTTACAAAAATTACCATGTCTGGGTTTTCAGCTGGTTTAGGTGCTAAGCACTGTAATAGGAGCTAAACTTATGGTTCCAGACTAATGACTGAACTTGAGTAAAATCAGTATTCAAGTTCAATTTGATGTTGATTTTCTCACCAAAATGTAATTTGATCATGTAATTTGATCACAGAAACGTAAGTATTGTAGTCTCCTCACTCATCATTTCTGATATCTGCAACTTGATTTAAGGTGACTGAAGAATGTTAGTGTCAGTCTCTCAATATGGGTGTTTCTTTCACTCACTAGTTGTCCTTCTTTACAGGCACTTACCAGCCCAAGCAAGAAATCTTGTGAGACTTATGAAAAGTGATTATGTAAGTTGTTTAATCTTACAGCATGAATAGAAATAGGTGTTGATCACATGATAGATCCACCTGCAATGACATCTCGTGCATATCATAAAGTCAAAAAAATTCAGGCTCGTTATTTTCTTCTTTATTGCACAGAGAATTGACTTCAGTGCTGACTGGAAGCTCATAACTGTGTTTATTGGAAACAATGATCTGTGCAACTACTGCAAAGACCCTGTGAGTAGCAGAACTGGTTAACTGAAACTGTAGTGGGCCTGTGGTGTCAATGTAGAAACACGTCAAGGGAAATCTGTGGATCCTTAGAGGCCTTCACAGAGATAACGTGAGTTATATACGGGCTGCTGTAGGTTTTGATGGGGGTTGTTGCTGACAGTACCCTGATATAAAATTGTTACCAACAAAAGAGTAGGATGGTTTTGTTTTCTCTGGCTTACTCCAGAGTCAGAACCATTATCTTTGCTACTGTCTTTTGATGTGAGCAAAAACTGGAAGGGAAGAAAAGCTTCACTCCTCTGATGTGGTAACTACTCTGCTGCTAGCATGGCCTCTTTAGACATCCAAGAATAGAAGCGGTAGTTCAAAGCAGTACAGTCCTACAATTGTCATCACCCCATAAGTCACAGTTAGGGACGTGCTAGGAACAGGTGAAGGTATGTATAAGAGGACTTGCTGCAGTGCTCAGTCTTACTTGAAGTTTATGCTTCTCTGGATTGTGGAGAAGCCTTTAGGGCTGCCATAAAGAGATTATGGGAGTTGAGTGGGCAGGTGGCAGGGAGAGGCCACCTTTCACTGCCAGCTCTCACTTTCTTGCCTTTAATATGTTAACTTCTTATGAGCATTTTCAGTTTTTCCTGCAACCCCTTCTGCGTGCGAGATTTGCTGCTTCTACAGAAGCCTTGCTATGCATCTTTGCTGCTGCTGCCAAGTTTTATAGCTTTATTTATAGCTATGACCTTGCCTAGCAATGATTTCACCTAATTTTATGAGAGTTTATCAGCTGGCTGTGAGCACACTTATGGGGGCTTGGTTTATGCTGTTCAGCATGCATTCAGACTGGGTTCCTTCCTGCGTTTTTACATGAAGGACCCAGTGGAGTTGGGTTAAATATACTGCTGCTCAAGAAGGTTTATTTTAAATCCAAAATTTCACCAAACCTTTCTACATTTTAGTTTAATTGATATACTTAAAATCCCTGGTCTCTAGAAAGAAGCAAGAACATTCTACTAACCACAGTGTTGTATGGCAGAAGGAAGTGAATTACTGCAGTTCTGCAGCCTCCCAACCTAAATGCCTTAGCAGTAATCTCCTCTCTTTCTATCAGGAACACTACTCACCTGAGAATTACATCAAAAGGATCCAAGAAACTCTTGATATTCTGCACAAGGAGGCAAGTGCTGACTGACTGATGCTAACTCTTCTGTTTGCTTGATTTTGTGGGATGTTTTTTTCCATTCTGGTACCAAACATATGCCGTTGACTTCTACTAAAACATTTTCTTTTGTCTTGTCTATCTGCAAGTAGTGAGATGCAATCTGAAATGACAGATAGTAACACTGAACCATGGTGTAGGAAAAGGATCACAAACTGAGTTGTGGGAGTGTGGTGGGGGGGGTGGTGTTGATTTTTCATTCTTTTAAATTAATTTTTTTCCTTCCAAGAGTGGAGAAAGGGAAGGGATGTCAAATAGTTGGACTCCAGAGTAGAATAAATGCACTGTGGGCTTTGTAACCAGTTTCTTCTAAGCTAAAGCCTCACTTACCTTTCAGGTTCCAAAAGCTCTAGTGAATCTGGTTGACGTGGTGGATTTCCACCCTCTGAGACAGTTCTTTGTGGATACTCAAGTTCAGTGCCCCACTTACTTGGCAGAGTAAGGCTTAACTTCCTTTTGTTTGTGAACTTACTGCTTGTGATGATAAAACACGTTCTTGTTCTGTGCTTCTCTCGTTATTTGAATTAATGTTCAAAGGTAGCAGCACAGTCCTATGGACTTCCCATGCAGTGCTGACATCATCACCCTGCCTGATGGCGTTTCCTTCTCTTGGCTTTGCCCCAAGTGTTATCAGAAGACCTGTGCATTTTTCGTATCTAGAACTGTCCATAATGTATACCTCACTGAACTTGGGTTAAAGTTTCTGATACAGGGTTCTTCAGGATGGGATTGAAGTCCACGAGCATTTGGATTTGCATGCCTTTTGTGGGAACCTGAAGTATTTGCAGATAGACAGGTTTCTCCTGTTTCAGAGGCTTTAGTGCAATGGGTAATTTGCATTATTTGCTGACCTTTCAGACAGGGGCAAATTGTCTCTCTTGGGAATGCAAAAGAAATTGTTGATTGGAAAGGTATCAACTGAGAGGTAACACAGACAGTACATTTCAAAGACCTGTTTTCTAATTCCACGGACTGATCAGAACCTCTGTCAGTCTGCAGGGCCTTTGGATGCCGAGATGTAATTAATGCAACAAACTATCCTATGTGCCCTGTGTGTTACTTTGATATAACTGGGTGTGAACAAAAATTAGAGTAGTATCATTGATGTGATGCAGAAAATAAGACTAAAGATTGAAATTACAATAGCAAGAACAATAAGATGTTTTCACAGAAACATGACTGTACAGGTTTCCTTATTACTCCCATGACATGAGGGCACTGGGTGGCAAAGGGTGACATGTGCATTATCAGATGTCTAACTCTCTCTATTCCTGTTTTCTCTCCCACAGTTATCTGTGTAGCTGTATTTTCACAGGAGAAGAAAACTCAGAAAATTTAACGATGGTGAGGGAAGCCACCAGAGCTTACAGGGTATGTTTATCAAGAGTGATACAGTTACTTTATTTCCACTTGAGGTGAGATCTTGATTACCAAGCAACATATCATATCAGTATGTTACACAAATGAGCCCTATGAACTAAGCTGGAGGTTATTTGAAGCTATCCAAAACACCACGTGACCAAAACAAGCAACAGAGCTCTTCAGAAAAATTCTGCATCCTAGTAGAGAAATGAATAGGTGGGAGTTTAGTCACCAAAATCCTGTCCCTGACAAACTGTTGCAGTATTGTGTTCCAGCCTTCTCAGCCACTTTGCAAGGCACACCTTTTGCCAACGAGTGTGGCTATTTTGGTTTACAAGTAAAACTTCCTTTTGATTCTTGGGCTTTCAAAAAACCAAACCAAACAAATGGGTTATGATGCAGAGATGTTGCTGGAGCATTGATTGTGGTTTTTTTGGTTTCTTGCAGCTTGGCATTCAGAGACTAATAGAGTCTGGCAGATATGACACTCATGAAAATTTCACAGTGGTCATCCAACCTTTCCTCCAAAATATAAAGATTCCTCTTGGTCAGGTATGGTATAAAGTGAATTCTCCATTTAAAGGACTAAGTGTGGGTATCTAACCTGTAGAGACTACATGCAAATAGTGCTTTTCTTATTAGAACTTGTTGATTTTTGGTATAGTACAACAGATTTCTTCATAACGGTTCTCAGTTTTACATATTATGCTGTTGATATCAATTACTGTTTTGTAAAATGAATCAAAACCTGATTCAAGAGGTTTGTTTGTATATGTTCTTAAGGGTACATAACTATTTTTCTTTCTGAAAATACAACATGTTTAATAAGAAACAGAGTTATAAAGTTACAGTACTTATAGCAACATAGCTGAATTGCTCAGTGGAGATTACAGCATCAGCTCCCCTTCATGTCCCATAACTCATTCTTTTGTGTCTGACAGAAAGAGAAGTTAAGTGTGATCTGGTGGAAGTAGTTTTATGTAGTTCCTGGGTATATGTTTATGTATGTTTCAGTTCCTTGAATGGCAAGTTGCAGTAAACTTTAAATCTAGTAAAACACCCAAACCTTCTCTAAAACTGAAACTGCATTTGCTAAGTTTCATATCCATCTGCACTTCCTCATCTCACCTGGAGCTAAGAGCAGGTGGGACATAATATTGAGCAGGGATTACTCTGGTATAATTGAACCAGACTAATCCTGAAAACATTCACAATATCTCGTAAAAGTTTGAAAAGTCCAGATGCTGCTACAGACAAATTTGGAAAACTGACTGAAAGCTTCACAGAAAAAACAGGCCCTTTTGTGTGTGTGTGTGAAGCTGGTGCCTGTGCAAAAAATCATCCCTTGGGATTTGGTACTGAGCATAGGGAACACAGAAATAAAAACAGAAAAAGGAAAACATTTCTGAACTTTTTTATAGTCTCACAAGCATTAGTTCAGATTTTAGGAAAGTTCAAGATGCTGTTTTTCCTTTTTATCTCTCACAACATTCAGATGTTCCTGAACTGAAAACTCTGCCTCCAAACTTGGCAAAATATATGATATAGATGCAAAATCTGGCAGTAGGGCTCTAAAAAGCAAGTCCAACCACCACAAATCAAGACCTGCTTGAGTTCTGAGGAAGGACGGCTCTGACCGAAATAGTTATGTCAGTCGTCTGTGGCCCTAATCTCAGTACTTGTGCAAAACCCAAGATATTTAAGTTTCCAAATTCCATTCCCTTCAAATCTTCAAGTATCTGTAGTAAAGCACAACTTTGCTCAGAATGGAGACTGCAATGGTGTGCTCGGTCAGCCTGGCTGCCTTCTACTGAATAATTACTTGCTTCTTGCTCCTTTTAAAACTTACAGCTGTGCAAAGGCAGTTGGGCTCTGTTCCTTCTGCTAAAGCCTCATAACATGCTTGTTACCATGTAAAGGTACTGCAGAGCATAATGGTGCCTGTGGTGCCAGTTGTGATGACATGCAGAGGAGAGGAACCTATACTTATTTCAGAACCTGAAGAGGAACTGCACACGTAACTGAAAATGGTGGGTTTGCTGCTTCTGGGTGGATCTGCCCATGGAGGCACATAATTATCTATAGCTAAGTGTTTCTATAGCTTGTGGATCTGCTCAAATACAGTTTGTATCACCAGATAATCATGGGCCTTTCTGCAATGGAGCAAGGAGAACAAGTAGCATTAAGGTCTCATTACTGACTCTCATTCAGTCTCAACAATCCCAAGCTGAAACTGTGTGGATTCTTCTACACTCTGATGTCCTTTATGCTTTCATTTGTAGGATGGGCAACTAGATGTATCCTACTTTTCACCTGACTGCTTCCATCCCAGCCAGAAGGGCCATTCTCAGCTTGCCAAGGCTCTCTGGAATGCCATGGTAAGGTGACAGGCTTTGCATATAATGACATCTTTACCTAGACCTGAGAACCATTAAAATGATCTCTGTAATAATCATTGCAATTAAGGCCTGGATAGCACTGGACCTGGTGTTTGTATCTTCTTAGCTAGTCAAATACCCTCTGATTTTGACACTGCTCTCAGCCTAGAATCTCCTGCTTCTTAAAGTGTGTGGGGAGGAGAGGGGTGCTGTAAGTGTGTGATCACAGTCATTTGTGACTTCAGTGGAGCAACTTCAAGTCTACTTCACCCACTGTCATGCAAGGCAAGATAGCATTTAATAAGAATGATGTTTCTATGGGCTGGGAAATCACCAAATAAAGAATTGTGACTGCATACGTCAGTTTAAAACCAGTTACTTAGAAGTTTGTTTTAAATCTGTGTGTTGGGAATATCTCATTAGGAATTAAAGTGGCTTCAATTCAGTTTTACTACTTTTGGAAATGAGTAAAGCTCAGTAAAAATAAGTCGTTAGAGGTTGCTTAAGCAAACCCATTTTACTTAGCACTGCAGTGCAGGAGGAGGACACGTGAAGTTGGAGGCAGTATCTTGGATCCTGAGTAGAACTTCTATATACTTTGGGGTAATATCTTAACAACTAACATGATTGCTTGCAATCATCAAGCAGTATCTCTAATTAGATTTGGTTTTATCTTCTACCCATAAACAGCCTTTTGTTGGAGATGCCATCATGCAGCTTAACTATAAAAAAAATGAGACACTCTTAACCATCTTTTATGCAAGAGAAGAGAGTTTACGACCTTGCCTTCTGGCGAAATTCCAAGGTACTTCATGTGCCTGCCAAAATCCTCCAGGAGTTTAAACTGATCCCACTGTAGCTTTCCACTTCCCATTTTAAGCTCCTTTGTAGAGTTGCTCTTTTGTTATGCAGTTGCCATGTTCTTTCTGAGAAGTAGATGCATTTCAGCCTTGGGTAAAGGTCTGTAAATACAGGCAGCTTTATATAGATGTGAAAGGTATATTTAGTTTGTTTTGGATTGGAATTGTTATACAAATTTAAGATGAGCTGACATGGTTACAGAATAGGTTCTTTTGTCTTTGTTTCCAGTTACAGCCTGTAGGCCAGAAGGCTGACTCATTTGATTTCACGGATGACATCGTCCTTGGCTGTCCAGCTCAGGTAAATATACCCACATCATGGAAGCTGGCTATCAGGAGGCTGTGCGTGCTTGTACTTGCTGCAGAGAGCAGCAGTTCAGTACATCTGGAACAAGTTTACTTAAAGCTTTGTTCTCTGCTTACCTATGAGTGGCAGGCACTCTCATGTACCTGCTTTGGTGTCCCGTTGCCCTTTTGCTGTGCCATGAATACTGATTGACAACGTGCTGATTTGTGTGTTTGCAGCTGTAGCAGAGGTTGTATTTTGTTGTTTGTGAAGTACAGAGGCAGCTCAAGCAGCAAAAATGAGAATATGCTGCATTAACTTTCCTATCTGAATCAATGGGGTTTGGGCACCACAGCAGCTTTGAAAAATCCAGATTTTGTTATCTCTTGAATTAGTAGCAGGTTGTTTTTCCCGATCTGATCCATAGCAAGGATACTTCAGACTCTTTGGAAACTGCTTCTATAGTTACAAAACAAGCTGCTGAACTTGCAGTACAGTTGCTAGGTATCGGCACATGGAAATGACCACTGCAGGCAGCAATAATTGGCTCCCTTTCTTCAGCGGTTTCAACAAGGAGGCTGAAGAACTGAATAGATCAGGGAGCTGAGTTGCTCTCTCAGTTCTGGAGACAGGTGTTCAAGTTGTATGGGAGGATTTTGTCCATATTGTGTCCATCCTGTTAGAAAAGGAAGATTTGCTGAGTTTTGTTTCAGAAGTCCTCATATTCACTCAAATTGATCACACTTCCTTTACCCAGTAATCTTTCCAGGTAGCTCAAATTGTCAGCAACTTCTTCAGTGCCAAATAGTGTGGATTTTATACTTTCCCTTCATCCACTCTTATTCAAAGTTGTTGCTGTTCAGCAGTAGGCAAAGAAAAGTTTTATATCCTTTGAAAAGCTATGTGACCATTGTTTCAGAAATGGTAAGCCCACAGTGCTTTAAAAAAGTCATTGGTAGAAGTGCCAGTAGCTATGGAAAGTTATTTGTTTGAGGCAACTTCACATAGAATAAAAGCTTGCCCTCCAATTTTAGTGATTTCTTTAAGACCTCCTTATACAGATATTGTAATTTTTCTTAATTGAGATAAGTGAGTATCCAGCTGAGATTTTTTAGCCTATACAATGTGCATGTCTTCCTCAATGCACGCTGCATTGGTAGGGGACAAAAATAACTGCAATCTCTACAGCCTCTCTTAGAAGAAAGAATGATCCTTTCAGTAAGCAATCTTTCATCTCCCTTCTGCTGACACAGAAGATCTGCCCATGTTTGTCTAGACTTTACATCAGTGTCCCTTGAAAGGACTAAATATCCATTAAAGTCTAATTGTGGAAGATTAGGAGAGGAAAATGTTAAACTGCAGTTCGCCTCTGGCATACGTAATTTTTGCTGTAAGGTTCTACACGCAAATTTTGCGAGTTTTAAGGAAAGAGCATGGTTTCAAAATCCAGATTCCAATTTTTGCAACTCAGGCAGTTTACTTTCTTGGTGATATGATGCTTTGATATCACTTTCTATGGTTTGTGTCCATGTGCTTATTGCCTAATTTCTCTTATGTTTTTTTCCTCCCTCTCCAGAACAAGCCATTCCTGGGAACATACAAGAATAGCAACTACACACCTGTGGAGCCCACTCGTGAGCCAATAGAGGTAATTGTTGCATCTTTTGCTGCATTTTAGGCAAACTGTGCAAAACTGCATCTGGTGGGTGTTATCATACTGAATTTATAGATTACGTAAACTATTACCAATTTTTGCAAAGGGGAGTCTAACTTGCATTCCACTCTTTCCTGTGTAAACAAATGTTTTCCTAAAGCCAAACAAAATTAATCATATTATTGGTGCAATTGTATAGATAAGTAACCTAGGATGAATCATTAATTCAGATATCGAGTTCCACACAGTATGGAGAAGGTAGCCTAGAATCCTAAACCCCAAATGGAGTTCAGGAGGTGTGTGGATCATACTCTCGGGCATGTGGTGTAACTAACTCTAAGGGATGGTCCTGTGCAGGCCCAGGAGTTGGACTCGATGATCCTTGTGGTTCCTTTCCAACCTGGCATATTCTGTGACTCTATGATCTGAGGAAGGTTTAGTTATTCTGTTCTTGAGCCACTGTACTTCCAAATACTCAAGTAAGCTTAACCTGTAGAGGGCAGTCACCTTTACATACTGAAAATGTGGCTGGATACAAAGGTGATAGGAATCCTATTTTCAAAGGGACTCAGTTTCCACCATGACTGAGCAACTATGACAAGGTAGATTAAACAAGCTGCAGAAACAAACATTGTATTGGACTTGGATAAATGGAGCTGTTATTTCTTGGCAGTCAAAATGGTCTGGGATAGTTTGGTTTACTGGGGGTCCTCATGACTAGCCCAATTATCAAATTCTCTGTGTGCCTTGAGGGTTACAAAGAGTAAAAGTTAGTGTTTTAGCAATCTAGAGTTTGCAGGATTGCAATGGGATTTTTATCTGTAGAACTGGAGTTATACTTTTAGTGGGTAATTCTTGCACTTCCACTGAATCTCTGCAGCAACAGCTTTAGATGTGATAAAGGAAAGGGACAGCAGAGGAGTAAAGGAACAGTTTCCTCTCTGATCTAAAAATAATCCCAGCTGTCCTTTCTAGCCTCTGCAACCAGACTTCAATGGCTGATAGAGGAGCCTATTACACCATTTTTTTGCAAGAATAAACGAATTTGTTATGATGCTTCTTAACTCTAACCATGCTTTCTGAAGACCACTGGTCCATATAGTTTTACTCTGAATGGCAGAATTGTGCAATCACAGAATAATTGAGGTTGGAAGGGACCTCAGGACGTCCCCTGTCTGACCTCCTGCTTCAAGCAGGGCTGGCCCTTAGATCAGTGTAAGCAGCTGACTTTGCTCTTGCAGGGACTGGCCATTATAACAATTGTATTTTTTCCTCACTATCACCTTAGGTAACATTGTTCTCATTATCAAAAAGCATGGGTGGCACATTTCTCTGCTGTCTCTGCTGGTGATCCAAGATGATCTGCCATGTATGGTTGTGATTCAATTTCTTTAGTTGGTGGAATACACATAATAACTATTGTATTACCTATATAAATGTATGGTAAAGTACAATTATTTAGAGCCTGACAGTTTTCTTTACTCAGACTTTTAAAACTTCAAAGTTTTTTCAGGGAAAGCAAGCCCTTTTTGAAAGTTACTGGGAAAAGAATAGGTTCCTAGCAAAGTACATGGGAATGATAATATAGTAACAGAATCATTAAGGTTGGAAAAGACATCCAAGATCATCAAGTTCAACCTTTAACCATGCCCACTAAATGCTATTGCAAAGTTCAAGGTCTACTTTGTTTCTTGAACATTTCCAGGGATGGTGACTCCACCACTTCCCTGAGGAGACTGTTCCAATGCTTGAGCACTCTTTCAGTGAAGAAATTTTTCCTAATATCCAACCTAAACCTGGTGCAATTTAAGGCAGTTTTGCCTTGTCCTTTCTCATGTTACCTGGGAGAACAGGCCAACTCCCACCTCATCAAAATTTTCTTTCAGGTAGTTGTAGAGAGCATTAAGGTCTCCCCTGAGCCTCCTTTTCTCCAGACTAAACAATCCCAATTCTCTCAGCCACACCTCATAGGACCTAAGTTTCAGTCCCTTCACTGGCTAATATAACAATACATTAATAATACAATACATGAATATAACATTATAACTTTGCAGATAATTTTATTGTTTGTTTGTTTTTTGGTGTTTTGTTGGGGGTTTTTTTGCATCTGATATCTTTCAAGACAAAGCAAAATTTCAAACCTGGAGACCCTACCTTCTGGGTCATGGACAAAATCTCCAGGCTGTAGAGAGGAGAAAAAAATAATCCTGCTTATGGAACTTTGTCATAAGCAATATTTGGTGATGAAGTGTTTTACCTTTGGAAAAATTGTATGTTTTGGCTAGAAAACGTGACCCAAAGTAATTATTGTTTGGATAGTATTCCGTGAAGAGGAGGAAAAGACTGTTGAGCTATATAAGCACCAAACTAGGATCTGTGTCTTAACTTGGTTTTGTCCTTCACTGTACAATTAAATCATATATGAATTCTGTATTATCTTTTAACCACAAGGTGAAACAATTCTGTAACTTGCCATTTCAGAATTGGGGCAGTGAGCTATCGTGTCCTGAACGGTCTCCATCTAGTCGTGTGCCAACATCAGGTGAGAAAGAACTCCTAAGCTAAAATCAAAAATAGGAAGTATTTAATCTTTTGTTTTTAAAAACAGTAGGATGCTGAAGTGGCACATCCTAGGTGGAAAGTAAACAATAAAAGCTGGTATATTTAGCAGCAAAGGAAGAAAGTTTGACTTGCCATACACAGTAAGTTCTGCATGACAGACAGCAGGTGTGCTCTCTGTGGATAAATGTGACCACATTTATCATACTCATGTATCATATACATCATTTATCATACAGCAACATGGCAGATTAAAATTACCTAGGAAGGCTAGTGGCTCAGCAAGGTGGAACCTATACAAGTGCAATATATATTTGGAAGGCTTTACAGGGAGATTTTTAATTAAAATATATCGGTCTATGACCCAAACCTGTAAGTCAATTAAAAGAGATGACATGTATGCATCTGCAAACATATCTAATCCATTTCCATTTTTTCCTAAGCTCTTTTAAGTTCCAGCTTTCCATGTGAGTTGAGTACACTGATGCAAGCAAAGACATAAGCCTTCTGCCTAGCTGATACACAGAACTTGAACCTCGTTCTCCCTAAAAATGCCATCAGATTGGAACCTAAGACTTGCATCTTTATTCTGTTAAACAGCATCCTGTCAGTTGTCAGTAATCCTGCTTTTATTCTCCTATTTTTTAGTACATGAGCTACGACCTGCTGACATCAGAGTCATAGGAGCACTGGGAGATTCCCTGACTGTGAGTACTGCAGTATTTCCACGTTTAGAACGAAAAGAGCAATTGTCAACTTCTACCTAGATGTTGTCACATCAGGCATCATCAGATAGAAAGCAAATTACTTTGGCTCGGCAAAGCAAAACTCATCTACCTGGTTCCCTTTGCAAAGAAATAGCCTGAAGGGATATGAGTGACATTGGAATTGTGTAATCCAGTAATGAATAATTCAGGCCAGGACAGAAATGGGATACTATTCTCTATTGCACAGAGTTTATTCAAGTGTTTTTGAAAAGGGAAGTGGCTGCCTTATAGGAATAGTCTTTTTTGACATAAAAAAAAAGGTGGAAGCATTTGGAATTTTTGTGCAATGAGAGATTTTGCTGAAAATTCCCATGGAAATAATTGATTGCAGAATGAAGTGCTTCTCACTTGAGATAATTCTAAAACTTCCATATTTTAGAATTTTGCTTTCAGATGTTGCTTCCTGGATTAGACATCTTCCAGTTAAAGCTCTGATGTATTTCAAGTGCCAAGGAATACAAGCTGAAAAGAAAAAATTAGGCAACAAAAATAAATAAATAAATAAATAAATAAATAAATAAAGGCCCCAGAAAAGAATAGCAGGGAATACTGCAGATCTGCACTGAAGTTTTCTGAGAAAAAGTTCCAAAATTACCAGAATTACACAGCACTACAGAATAGTTCTGGCATGGGATGAAAGCAAACATTTGTGTCAACAGTTCCCATGAATTTTAACTCCTGAGCTAAACTGATGCTCGTTCTAGCAGCTTCAGCTCCTGTTGAGCTCAGAGGGAGCTGAAGGGACTGAAGCCCTTAAATGGTCAGGCTTATTTTACACAGGCTGGTGTCCATGTCTTCACTATGCATCATGCACCTTTCATTAGCATTGAAACTGATTTTGCTTGACCTGATGTAATCTTTGGCTTTGCCCCCTGCTGCTGAGGTTTGACCTTTTCTTAGAAGACCTCAGTAGAGACCTACAATTCTCCCTCCTATCCATTGCTTAGAATTAATTGCTTTATTTCTTCCCCCACATCTAGTGCTAGACTTGTGCACTAGCAGACACCTTTTATTTTAAGAATTTTAATTCTTTTAGTAAGGGCCACACTATAATGCTTGAGGTCTCTGTCTCGAGCTGAGCAAGGCAGGTTCTCATATTGCCACTATTCATGCAGTTCCTATTATTTACCATTGCCACAGCAAAGTGTGATTGGGGGTCTTATTAAGTGATTCATTTGGGGGGCCAGAAGAAATGACAGAGCATTTCCCACACATGCACACACTTCCTGCACATAAAGTACACCAGCAGCATTGTGTGCTTTTTAGTGCATTACCATCCCTGGCACGGAGGGACTGCAGCAGCAAAGTCCACTAAGGTATTGATTTTCCTCCTGGTATTTCCCACAAGATCCCTGAATGCAGTCAGTGTCTATGCCTGAGTTGGTACCATGGCTTTTTGAAGGATACAAAATTAAGTGAAATCACTAAGAAAGCATAAAGCTATAGAAGAATCCCTTAATGGACGTCTGTCCCAGTCCTGTGAGCTACTCAAGTTCATCACAAAGGTCTTTGTTCTTATGGCTTTATGTATTTATTTATTTAATTTTGAAAGATAATGAAGTCCACAGTGCAGGAAGGAAGGCTGTTCTTAGTCTAGATGCACTTGGAGATTAATGAAACATTGAGCAATTTAGTCATGTCACTGGCTAGAATGCATCTGTCTGACTTTTTAGCACCCATGCACAGTGAAAACAACAGATACACCAACATGCTTATCTATTCTGGCAAAAAAAGTCCTGTCATCAAGTCCTCATCAAGTCTATCTGTAAGACTAGCAGAGTGGATCCAGGAGAAAAAAGTGGATTTTACACTAAAGATTTGTTTTCTTGGCAGATTAAAAAGCATCTCCTCTGATTTATGTACAGCTAAAACTGGCTGGAAATTTTTCATCAGTGTTTAGGCCTTTTTTTCCTGGATTATTAAGTCTCTCAGAATCATCTTTCTTCAGGAAATGCCAGAATAAAGAATTTTCCATCAGAAAAATCCAGATGAATACAACGTGGTGGATGTTAATCTGAGTCCCACTGGGTTGCTAGAATAGTAGTTTTAAAACCTTATGTCCTTGACATTACATTCTGATGTCCTCTGACTGGACTATGATGTCCTCTCATGCTCTATGGTCTACCACTTGGATGAGCTGCTTTTGCATATGAGGGGAAGCCTGTGAGATTGAAGCATGAGAGATGCAGGGCTGCCCAGAGGCCAGTGTGTGATGATTAATAAGGACACAGAGCGTTTATTCTAAAACTAGTATATTGCTAAAACTTGGCTGTTTGCAGGGTAATGTTTCCAATGTACCAATGTTTCAAAATGTGATGTGTGTCTTAACTAAACTTGTAGGACTTTTTCCTATTAACATTTTATAATTATTCTTTCCATCTTTTCCAGACTGCAGTAGGAGCCAAAGTACCTGACCTAGAAACAGACTGGAGGGGACTTTCCTGGAGGTGAGAATGCTCATTTTTGTCTTTCTCTATTTCTGTCTGCACAGTTAAAAGTGTGTGGGTCACCCAGTGAAAATGCAGGGGTAGGATGCTGACAGCAAGTATTGCTTGGTAAGGGTTGGAGGAGTCATGAATCTCAATATCCATGCTAGAGTGGAAGGAAACTGCCTGCTTCATTCATATGGGAAGGCATATGGTTTATAAGCCCATGCATGTGTATAAGTTCTTTTCTATGCTCTTTCTTTCCCCCTTTGTATGTATCTGCAGGCATAGATTATTTTCAGGAGGGGCTACCAGATGTGGTGTAATGGTGTATTGGCTGCGCACAGACAAGTTTTAAATGGTAGAGGCAGAGGACCTTTTCATAATCAACATTGCAGAATTGCAGATAGATGGTTAATGAGCATTTCATGCAGTCTTTTCTATACATAACTGCACATCATAAATGTAATTTCAGCAAGGTACCGTGGGGCAACTTTAGTGAGGAAATATGCTTTTGTATGGTGGGCATCCCAGAATTTTCACGTGAAAAATCAGTTCTCCAAGTATGCTCTGTTCCCAGCCTGAAGGCATAGCTTCTGTCTTAGCTGATGCCCTGCTTTATTTAATGTGAAATATTCTTTCAGTACTTTCCCTGAATTCTTGTTGTTTATCTCCTTACTATTTGAAATTAGTATTTTTGGTGGGGATTGTTTCTTCCTTCTTAGGCTGCTGCAACAACATATGGTGAGAATAAGACAGATGGTTGCAGGATTAACCCTCCTTGGTGATTTTGTTCTTTCCCTTTGTAGCATTGGAGGTGATGAGACCCTGGAGATCCAGGCTACTTTACCTAGTGAGTATCATGGAAAATAAACGTGACAAAAGCAGAAGCTGGGTATTACACTGCAAGCCTTTTAAGTGGATGCTAGGAAACACTTGGAAATGGTCATTCTTTCCTTGCAAACAGTGGGGATATCCATCTTTTGTGGATATGAGCAGTTCATGTGAGTCACAGCTGAAACCCAGACTGACCTGATTAGCTATAAAGTTGATTCAGCCCCTCCACATCACAGGAATGCGTGTGACTGTGTCGTCCTTTTGACCAAAATGTTTAGGAGTAAATGTGCTGAAGGTGACAGAAGTTCATGGCAGACCTGCTCCTCCCTTATTTTGTGCTTTCCAGTGATTGACTGCAACGACTGTGTGCAAATGAAGGGTTACGAAACAATTAGCAGTTCATCTGGGTAGGGTTGCTGACAAGGCTATACTTCTTCCTGATGATTTCAAGTTTCTAGGTAGCACTGGGAAAAAAAATCTAAAAATACTATAAATTCATTGCCCTAGTATTCTATGTAATTGGTCCCTGTAGTTGCCATAGAAACCAATAAGTGGTCAGTGTGACAACAAATTGGAAGGGACTTGATTTACAATGGTTGATCTATTTGTATGTGATCTTTGCTGTGAAGTAGTTTGACAATACCTGACACTGTTGGTAATAAAATCTGATATGCTTTGTCTTGTACCATGCACTGTGTTCAAAGAAAAATAGAAGGTGTAATTCATTTATGTGTTATAAATGAGACTCTATAAAGAGGTTTCGGACAGCACTTCAGGTGCAGAAACAAAGCAGTGCTCAGGCATCATGCTTCTCCTCTGAGGGTTTCAGTGAAATCTAGAAAAGTGAATAAAATTCATTCTCTGCCATAAATCTTATTATCTAGGAAGAGTGAGAGGTAGATGACCCTTTTCAGAGCATTTGCTTCTGAAAGAAGAAAATGGTACATGAAAGCAAGTGGTACATGAAAGAAAGTAACCACAAATACTCTTTATTACAAATACGCTTTAATTCAAGACTGGTGAGTTGCCTGGGACCTCTGCATCTCCTGGGCCACCAGACCCCAGTTCCTCAAGTGCATGGAGAGAAATAGTTGCAGTGATGAAGTTAAGGCAATAACTAGAGTCTCCAAAGCAGGTGTGCCTGTAGCTTCTATAAAGCCACGGTGAATAAGGAGAAAACTTATGTCCATATTCTCACCATTCAACTGGCCTGTCCTCCTGCAGGAGGCAAGGCTGTTGTTTGTGCTGGAAATGATTAAACACTGTGTTTTTTCCTTTTAAGATATCTTGAAGAAATTCAATCCGAACCTCTTTGGCTTCTCCACTGGCATTTCTAAGGAAACAGCTGGATTCAACGTTGCAGAGAGAAATGCCATGGCGCGGTAAGCACAATCACCAACAGGAAAGGGCAAAGGAGTCAGAACTGGTGTACTGGCAGGTTACCTTTGAGACACCTGTCAAGGTTGAGTTAATACTGGTGACCTGCTTGTACTGAGCATATTTCTGTGATCTGATATTTTTAATTGTGGGTTTGATTTCTTTTTTTTTTAAATTCAGTTCAATATTTGGGAGATTTATAGGCCTACTTGTCTAAATCAGAGACAAACTTCCTTTCTTTCTTCATTTTCTGCCCGTGATTTCTGAGCCAATGCCTTACTTATGCTTCTAATTCTACCAGTACCTTTTTCTGCCCAGACTTCAGTTTGCAAGTCCCTGGTTCACTGCCAGGCAATATCTGCAATGAGAAAAAAATTCATGGGCATCTCTCATTTATTCCTTTATTTCTGGGAAATGTGGCTCAAACTAACAAATAGAAGGCCACTGCTACACTAATGGCATTAAAAACTATCCCTGTTTTCAGTGTAAAGGAAAATAGCAGAATGAGCATCTGAGAATTAATTCCTTTCTCCTCCTGAACTAAAAATCTACTAGTCTGTTAAGAACCAAAATGTGTAAGAGTTTGTATGGCATACACTGTGCCTGCTCAATGTATACTCATGCAGTTTGTTTCCAGGACTTTTTGTGACACCTTTAGCAGCCCTTAGATTTGCTGCAAGAGAGTTTTAGCATAGCTAGCAAAGCCTGTGTAGCTACTAAATGTTTCACGGGTGCCTGGAGCCAAGCTGACTCAGCATGATCAATATGGTTCTGGGAATCCAAATAATGTAACTGCATTTGTGTGGGTGCTGGAGAGATGCAGGGCTTATTAGCTCAAGCACAGTCTTATTCTGCTATATCAGGAGCTCATTTCCAGCTGGTGTCTCAGCGTGGCTTATGCTTTGGCCCGTGGACATTGCATCCTGCCCAGAGCTGGACTGGGACTCTCCAGCCTGGCAGTTCCACAATATAAGCAGTATCTTCCAGCCCTAAGACAAGCCATAGGAATTTAGGACCGGATCAGAAAGGCTGGTTAGGTGCCCAGATACTGCGTAAGCACCAGACTCCCCCACTAGGTTTTAAAGGGACTAAACTAAATGTCTCTGTGCATCTGGGTGTTAGTGCTTTTCTCCAAACAAAATGCACTTAAGCCAACTCTGAGATGGGTAGAACTCACACCAGTTGCCTGCCACTTGGCAGCCGTCCCAGCTGAAGTCCTTTCAGATCAGGTTATTCACTTGTGCAACTTGGTCCTTCAATGTTTGCTCATCCTTTTGAGGCATCACTTTCCTTATACTGACTTCTGCTGATCCTAAAATCCCCTGAAGGGAGGAGAGGAAGATCAAGAAGATGACGTGTTTTTGGAGCAAACATATAAAATCCTTTGTCCTCTCTCTCTAGCAATATGCCAGCCCAAGCGCGTGAGTTAGTGGAGCTAATGAGAAACAGCTCGGTAAGTGGAATTTGGGCAAACCCTTAGTGGTTCTGTGTTCTCTGGGAAATGATTTTAATTGATGGGATGCTTGTGTCATGAAGAGTGCTTTATTGATGAAAGAAAAGTCAGTGTCCTTATTTCTACTGTGCTTTCCAAGATGAATGTGCCAGATGAATTAGCCTTTAGTAGATTATAATTCACCTGTACGAATCCATGCAGGTAAGATGCAAACACACAAGGCAGAGACTAATGTAGGGCACAGTGCAGCCAGAAGATGTAGGGATGGTAGTGAGGAAGAGGAGAAGTCTGAAGGCTCTGGTAAGATCACAGAGCAGCAATATTCAAAGTGGAGGTCATAAAGCCTGAATGTAAAATTGGTGGAGCAGGTGCCTGCAGACCAATATGAATCACACTATACACAATACTGGGAAGAGGGACTATTGAAGTCTTTGCAGGAGAATAAGGCATCTGAAACTCTGGTTTTGAGTAGGTAAATGATTAATCAGTGACCGGAAACCTCAGGGTTGGATGAATGCCTGTCATGCCACAATCTCAGTCTTCTAGAAAATTAGTAGGGGATCTAGCATTGTGGACCAGTCTGCTGTGCCAACTCCATTGAGGGCTACAAAGGGCACCAAAAGAGCAACTTGCTTTAAGTCAGTGGCTGCTGCTGCAGTTTGGGGTGGGGGGAAGAAGTCTGTGAAAAAACCAAGTATACCCTCGCCAAGTGTTGGCTGAATTTGAGTGGATGACTGTCTGGGTGTGAGCTGTTGGTTCAGGGAGAGCATTCCCTCTAAGAGAATAGAAGTGCCTGGTGCTCCTTGGCTCAGACTGAATGGGAAAGTAAGGTACTGAATAAGCAGTGTTTGTCAAAAGTTTCTCCATGCCAGCACTCTTGGTGGATGCTGCAAGCTCACCCTACTGTCAGTTACTCTGCATTACCAATTGTTTGGCAGAGTGGAGGGAGCTGGCGTGGATCTTCAACAGAATAGAAGAGGATCTAGAGCTTTGTTTTGTTCACAGCTTTTTATGCATTAAAAAAAAAAAAAAAAAAGGAGGGGGTGTGTCCCTGCCACACTGCCTCTTCACGAAAGGCTTTCGGAGCAAAGTGCTTGTTTAAAGAGAATTCAGACCTGTGGGTGATTCCCAGGCCCTCCCTCTATTTGTGGGATCCTTTCGCAGATGTTTGTTACGTAAATGCACCACGCTAAAAATAGTTGCCTTTGATTCTTTTCTTTGCACTGAATGTTACAAAATGTTTTGATGAGATCCAGCTCTCAGCAGCGCCTATTGTTAGCTTGTGGTGACGTGGATGCTGCAGCTGCCCTTATATGAGCTCAGTGAAGTCACCAGCCTCCTGGACTTTTCTATTTTAATCCAGTTGTCTATTCCCTGGGGCACCCCTCGCCCCTCCTGGCCATGGGGTAATACTTACCCAGCTGGCAGGGATCCCCAGCAGCTCCAGTTCCACAGCTTCATGAGTCACTCCAGCCTCCACTCCCACACTGCCTTACCCCATGCTGCCTGCAGTGTTCAGCAATAGCTGGCAAATCTCTGCTGTCCATCCCTGTCCTGAAGCTAACTTTCATTTAGGGACGCTTGCTGCTACAGACACATTTCCATGCTTGGTTACCCTGATAGATCTTGTCTGCTGAAGGGAATTTCCTCACAAAAGCCAAGGTGAATTGCAGTAGACTAGCAAACAGTTCACACTTTCCCCCTGGAGAGATGCTTTTCTTTTGCCCACTTAACTCAGCATACCTCCTTTGTTTTGCCCTGCTGTCTACGCCCCACTTAGCCCCATGTGTGAATGTACCCCTTTAAGCCTGAGCAATAGATGCTACAATCTCTTTGTTTTATGTACCACTAGAAAATTAACTTCAAGGAAGACTGGAAGCTGATCACTGTCCTTGTTGGAGGCAGCGACCTGTGCCAATACTGCTTGGACAAGGTTTGTATCTCTGAATTAGGCATGCTTATCCAGGCATTTGGCAGATGACCGGCCCTGGAAATAGAACCTTTCTCAGGGAGCCGATGTTCCTCTTTGTTTAAAAAGCACTTAAAGTCCAGCTCCTTTCATCTCTATTGTATCAGAAACAAGTGCACAGTTTTTAATAGTGGGGCACTGCAGCTCTGGACAAATGCATTATTTAAAAATAGGAACCTGCCCTATATTGAACAAAATACCAAGAATAAACTCCTTGCTTAACTGGACAGAGCAATCAGCGTGGTGTCTTAGGAATGCTGTTATGGGACACGAAGTTTTCTGGAAAGCGTCTCCACGCAATAATTACTGAGAATGCTTCAGAGTGACACCAAAAGGAATAATATCAGTTTATACAGAAAAAGATGTCTTTTCTCTAGCTGTCTGTGGTCATCCCCTCTGGAACATTTATGAGGCACAGACTGGAGATCTGGACCCCAGCTTGTTGAAATGACCAGGCACTGTTCTCTGTTTTGCTCTTTTTCTTTTACAGGCTGCTGCCTGGAGCCTTTGTCCCCTCAACTCCACCTCTATAACTATAGTTACAAAGTTGTTTTGCTTAAGGGTTTTGTGGGGCCTGACTGCCTTCATCTCAATTTCCTCAGATTGGCAGTTTGGGGAAAAAAGGGTATCATTCTATTTATAAGGCAACCAAATGTGTTCTGGGTAACATAAAAAACAATATGAGATCCAAAAATGTAATCTATATAGTCATTCATCAGGGAAAGATTCTGCCAAGATGCCTTAGGATTTTCTGCAGGGATTAGGGGAATATATTAGTGAGATAGAAACACAAGCACCATATAACCTCTGTACATGTGGCAATAAATTTCTTGATCTGAAAATATATTTGCCAACTAAAGGAAAAGGAACACTGAGTTGGTATATCTTCTCACAGAACACCTTCTTGGTTCCTGAAAAAAGACTGATCCATTTTTTTTTTCTTTCTTTGTAACACAGGAAACCAACTCAGTGCAAAAGTATGTAAAGCACCTTCAGGACACACTGGATATTTTCTATGAGGAGGTAAGCTTTTAAGATACCCTAGCAAGCTATGTTCCTGGCAAGCACACTGACGTTTTTTTCACCTCTGGTAGACTGTCAGTGATTATGTTTCATACAAGGTCATCTTTCAAATAGCTGGAGTCAGACTGCTCCTCAGTGCTGCATTTCAACAGCTGTATTAGCTAATGCCCTGAGAAAGTGGGCTGCAGGCTTTCAGGAAAAGTGTATTTTGCAGTGTTTGTTCTGTGAACCAAACATACGTGATCCTACTGCCAGTTTTGGTGACTAAAGCAATCGTTGCACAGTTTCATCTACCCTAGAGCAAATGGAAATGTCCCAGGGAGTGAAGCAGCATTTCAGCTAGTTTGTACTAGCTGCTGGAATTTTTCTTGGCTGACATCCGTTGTATGTCTCCCTCCCCCTCTCTTTATACATCGTCCTTGCACATGCCATTGGCTGCAGTCAGCGCAGTTTGCACTGACTCCCTGACCTACGGATGGCATTTCTTGCTCTCTTTGTAGTGGTATCATGTTCTGTTATTTAGTATGTCTGGTTATTATAATCCTTGCAGCTCCCAAGAGTCTTTATCAACATGGTGGAAATGCTAGAGTTTTCTGGACTGCGTCAGATCACAGCAAGCTCTTCAGGGTGTGCTCTGACAGCAAAGTAAGTGAGCAAAACAGGTCTTTGCCTTTCAAGTGATAATTTTTTGGCTCAATCTCAATTTCTACAGTAGGTATCCACACTGAACTTTCCAAGATACTTGTATTGCAGCCTTTACCTGATGCACTATCACCGTCAACTTCCTATGACTTCTTTCAGTTTTTCACCTAAAAGGCATGCAGCTGTAAATAGTGGAGTTACCACTTCTCAGCTCTAAGGCAGCATGTCACAGCACAAGTCAACATATAACTGTTGTACCACTGAATTTCAAAGCCTGTTTTTGCCCAGCCATTCTCTGGTCAGCAGCATAGGCTGACATCCCTGATGCCTCTCCTTGTACCCACTGCTGTTACCTATGGCACAGGCTGGGCTGCACACAGCAGAATGCACAACAGGGAGCAGCTTTTCACACCTAATGGAGGACACAAAAATCCTACCTCAAAGAACGTTGAGGGTCTCATTTTGGAAAGCAGCAGTGCCTTTACAGGAGCCAGAACAGACATGAAAAGGCTCTTTAGTCTAGCAGACAAAAGTATAACAAAGGCCAGTAGCTGGAAGCTGATACTGAATGAATTCCAATGAAGTTAGGCACAGATTTTTAATAATACAAGTGATTAACTACTGGAACACACTAGAAGGGAAAATAATGAATTGACTGTCTTGCTTGATGTCTTCATATTCATACCAAGCACATTTTTAAAGGATGCATTTCAGTGAAACACAAGTTATTACCTCTTGATATAGGAGTAACAAAATAAAACACAGTGGTGAAAGGACTCAGACTACATGAACAATTTGTCTTTTCCAACTTTAAACTCCCAGATATCTGAAGATCTGCTGTAAGCTTGTTTGTAGGGTACATTTTTTTTACCATCCTAACACGTGATTTCCTGCTAATATGTGGCATACTACATGCGTTTGACTCAAGAATTGTGAATCTCACAGCTTTTACCAGCTATGACAGGTGCTCATTTTGAACAAGTCAGTAGGGATTTTTTTCTGAAGTATCTGTCCCTTTCTAAGCCAATGAGGTGGTTCTCCTTCTGCATGTGAGCTTTGAGCACCCATCCTTCTTGATGTGAAGCACACATTGCTGAAGAACTGCAAATAAGCTATTCAAGATTGGCTTTTAATTCTAGTATTTCTTTCCTTGAAGGCAAATTTGTCCATGTTTCTTAAACCCCGAGGAAAATTCTCCTGAACTACAAGAAATTAAGAGAGTTAACAGAGATTTTCAGGTAATACTTCAGTTCTGTAACTGGTCATCTTCACTTGCGTTGCTTTATATTGCTTCCTTCACTGCCCTTCCTCTCATGCATATCCTCAGCAGAACAGAGAGGGGTAACTGGGAAATAGCTTGGATACAGCCTAATCAAAACCTCACCCAGATAACCAGATAGTAGCAGTCCAAGTCTTTCCACGGTTCCTAATGATTTGTCCTCGGTTCTGAGCTGGATGCAGATCGAGACCAGTTCTGTTTCCAGCTGCTGTTTCAACAACTGAGAAGGAGTGAGTGATGATGGCTGCTTTGCTGATATATGTTTGCCTGTTATGAACCCAATGAATAGCTCACATGAATTAACATGTCATTGCAAGAGTGACAAATTACCCTGCATCAGTTGCTTTGTGGTACCCTTAGCAGAAAAAATAGCTAAACCAACCATGGGTCAGCTTGTTATCTCAGAGTAACTGTTCATGGCCTCAGGCATAAGATTCACTCAAAATTAACAGAGGCTATAAATAGCTATTGGAGTGGAAGGTTTTTCCATTGATGTTCTTATGAATACAGGAATCACTGTATCAGATCACAGTGAGTTATCCAATCCTTCATTCTGGCTCTGGCAGTGGATGTTGTCCAATGAATCTGACAAAGCTCAAAAAATTCACCTTGGATAGTGCTAGTATAAGTCTACTAGAGGGGTCATTTTCCTTAACTAAGGAAGTGGGATCAGGAATTTTTTGAGGTATGATCAGGATCAGTAGAGTTTATACCCATAAAATGGCGAGTAATAATGAGATGGGGGTTTTCATCCGTCTCAATGTCTGTGACCAGAGTTTTTAGAAGTGGCAGGTAGTTCTTCAATGTTTAAGTTTTATTTTAATTCAAGCACACCTTTCTTAAAAATCAAATGCACTTCAGCCTCAGGTTGGCATTCTGAACTCATTTGTTGCTTCTAAAAATTTTGGTCTTATTCCTTTTTTATAATTCTTTGTCAATTTTAATCTCATTGCAATTGTGCAGCTTTGGTTTCTATGAGTAAGGATTGAATTTTTTTTTCCTTCTTTTTTTTTAATTAAGCAGCTTTGTTTTTTTTTTAAATTTTTATATTTATTTGAATTAACCCAGCTTCTGTGCATTTTCCTCATGAAAATCTCTTCATGAACCAAGTTGTTTTCTTATCCATTTTCTTGACTGCTTTATAACATTTAACTGGATTTATACTAATAATTCACGGCTTCCTACACTGAAAGAAGTGTAATATGCATGTTTTTGATAGCTGACAAATGCTAGATGAGCCTTGCAAGTAACCTTTCCGTTTCCAATAATTACACTTCGTACAGGCTGAAGCCTTGCAGCTGATCAACAGTGGTCGCTATGAAAACCGTGAGGACTTCGCCGTTGTCATGCAGCCGTTTTTCCGAAACACCTTGTTGCCCCTGGATAGCGTGAGTCCTGTTTTTCTTTCCCATTATGTAAGGGCCAGTATCTTGATTTCTTTTAAGTCAGTAAGATCCATGCCACAAGGACTCTTTGCACAGTCTAGCAGCACAAGGTGGAACCCTGTGATAAGAGGTGACAGAGGAGAAGACAAGGAAAGACTGTGCTGCCTGTGAATCAAAATAGCTTTGTGAAACATTCACAGTTGTGTACACAGTAAACCTAGGCACTCTGTCTCCCTCTAAACTGGCATGTTGCTTCCCCTATTGAGGGGGTTGATTGGCACACAATTTTCTTCTCATGTAGGTTATGGAATATGTTTAGGATTTCTCCAAATGGAGACCAGCACTTGAATGCCTGACTCATTCCAACCTAGAAACAGGAAACAGCCTTTGAAACCAAACACTGATTCTCCTCCTTTTCTCCAGCCTTAGTATTATGTATGCCATGTAGTTAAGGATACAAATATTCAGCATGAATCCTGGTCCAAAACACCCAGTTTTACATAACACTGATCTCTTTGTCATACCATCCCTGTTTTTTTTCTGTTAGCCTTCAAGTCTGAACAGTGGTCACTATGCAGGTAGGGATGAGGTGAGGCAAATTCCTCCTAAGACAGACATTTGCCACAGCTGGATAAGCCCACCATTTTTATTGTAGCCTGAAATTCAGCAGAAATTCCAACACCTGAAAGGTTGTAAGTCTGAGTTATGGAAGTTTAACAAGCCATAATAAGCAGTTTTCTGTCAGTTCTGCACAAAGTGGAGTGTGGGTCAATGGCAGTGTAACAGCCATGACTATTGTTTAATGATAAGTTTGGTTTTGCTATGAAAATTGCTGTGTGAAATTGAGCAAGCTGTGTTACACAGGAGGTCTCAAAATGCAGTAATCATCCCACAGTTAGGACTATCTAAGTTGATTTGCAGTGTCAAAATATGAACATACTGCCTTTAGGAAGATAACCAGAATTGTGAAGCAGGTATACCAAGTACAGTACACTATGAGATATAATATGGCAGATCTCAAAGATTGAAATATGCTGAGAAATACATTTTTACTTTTATTGCAGACTGGTTGGCCAGATCTGAGTTTCTTTGCTGCAGACTGTTTTCATTTCAGTGTAAGAGGCTATGCTGAGATGGCCGTGGCTCTTTGGAATAATATGGTAAGAGGCTACAACCTAGTTCCCTCTGTGATTGTGGTAGCAGTCCCTACAAAGATCACTATAAAGGTGTCTGAAACAAAAGAGCAAGGAAGACATAAAATTGATATCCTAACAAGAGGGGACCTGCTCAATTCTAAGACTCTTCAGTCTGCATTGCTTAGGACCACAATCCAAAGTGATCATGTTGCGTGAAACAGTGTAAGTCTTTGCTCATTCAAAATGAGAAATCCTGAGAGTCTTAAGGTAAGAAAAAATTCCTTTATGATTTGGTAAATAACTTGCATTAAAGTAAAAAATCAGCCTAGTTAAACATTTGGTCCTGTACGTCTTCTGAAAATGTCTGCTCAAGGAGCTTGCCCTTCTTTGAGGAATTCTTTTACATTTATTAGGAAAATGTATATGTAACTGAATTTTTGCTGCCATTAATAGTGTGGACATGTTGTACCACCCACTCTAGTATCTGAGACAACTCTCTTAAAGTCACTGAAACTAACGGGGGGCTCATCAAAACTATGATGCCTCTGCTTGCAGTCACATTCCTTCTGTCAGTTTGGGAAAAATTATAGCTTTTTAGCAGTGTTGGAAGAGGGTGAAAGAGGCACGTGCTAGACTTGATAACTCCAAGATCACAGTTGCTTTCAGAAACATGATGTTTCCCCATGCTGGAAGGAAGACTACAGCATTTTCATGCCACAGCAACATTTCCTCCTCTTGTCTCATAAAGCACCACTACCCAAACACATCGTGCAAGCAGAAATCCCGTATCCTGGTTTGTACAAGAAACAACCATAAACGGAGGGGAGGTTTTTTTCCATTTAAGTAAAAGTTTTAGCAAGATAAGAAACTTACAGAATACCCCAGAATAAGCTTGAGCATAAGGACTGGGATATACAGGGCAGAAGTCTTGCAGTTGCCCAGTATGGCATAGGAGCTGTAGGTTCAGGGTCATAGAATGCAGTGGACATACAATGCACACACGCACTCAGAATAATTGATTTGTGCATGCGCAGCAAAGCTGCCTGTTTTCCATCAGCCTTCCCTGCCTGGTACTCAGATGGCAGCAGGGTGGTAGGCTTCACTGTGTTTCATAGCTTAAATGGGGCTAGTGGTGGCCCAGAAACCTCATGCAATCGTAGCAGTAAATTCAAATTGAGTATGGCTGAAGATTTCAAGAAGAAAAAAGATGATATCTGGACATATGGTAGCCTTAAATTGGGTTTCTGTTGCCATGTGGTATTCCTATTAGCCATTACTCATTCCTGAATCACCATCAGTCTTTTTTTTTTTTTTTTCTATGCCATCAGAGTTTTATTCTGTCCAGACTGTCACTCAGTTCCTACGCATGTAAGGATATTGACAGAAGGCTTTCTACTGCAGGAGGGATCAGAGTCCTACTGATGTGAAGCACAACTATTCCCTCCCGCAGAGATCTGTTGGTCTATGCCAGCTGAAGATATTACTGTTTACTATTTAAATCTGGTTCTTGTAACACATCCCTGCTTTTCACTTGCAGTCCATGTACGGCAAGGCTGTGCAAGCTTACTGTAAGGCTGTATTGTTTCCCTGTTCCCTGAAAAGTTCGGCAGGCTGTAGGCTTATGGCCAAATGACATGGATTCTTTTCAGTACACATGAAGGACCAGACTGTGCCTGGCCACTGTGTGGGTATGCAGGGATTGGGATGCCTTCGGGAGTCTATCCCCCACCATCATGTTCTTTTCCCCTTTTGCTTTGTGCAAAGCCAAGTGTGCTCCTGCTCTCTGAAGTCAGAGGACTGTCTAGACCTAAGGGGCTTCCACTGGTCCCAAATCCACCTCTTCAGTCCTCTGGCCCAAGTCAAGAGCACATGGATGCTGTGTGTTCAGCTTGTGTTCTGCCTCCACGCTTGGTACACGCTCTAGAGGAGCTGTGTGTTTCTTCTAGAAGTTGTGCTGTCCACTCATGGACTTGGGGATACTGTCATCTTCAAAGCTCAAAAGCTAATGCTTCTGAAGAACAGATTGCATAGAGATGAAGTAAGCATGGCTGGTTGCAGAATTTTGCACTTTGTCGTCTTTCATCTGGGCTCCATGCCAGAATCCTTAGCAAGTGCCCTGGCAAGGGAAGTGTTACAAATAACCAGTCGCACTGCAGGCAGAATGCTACAAGACATGAGCCACACATCTTACAAATAACCACGGCAGAATCTGAGCTGTTCCCTTTAAGGTGCAACAAAACTAGCAGTTTCAGTCTTCACCACCTTAGCTGGTGGGCAGGCCAAGGGATTAGGGCTCATGTAAGAGTCCAGCAGGAGCTCACAACCATCAGCAAAACCTGGCATTCTGTTTTGCTTCTTCCCTTCCCTAGTCATATTTTTCTGTGGTTCATCTCTTTATTTTTCAGTCTCTACTACCCTTTTTTTTTTTTTTTTTTTTTTTAACTGAACTAGAGAGAGAAGGTATTCCCAGTGTTTCCATATGGGAATCCTATGGTTAGAATTTGGTTTTTTCCACGTTGTGTTGGGCTTCTTGCGGTATTGTTTCTTTTCAGCACACAGCTGACACTTTAATTCCTTGAAGACAGTAAATGCCTGTATGGACAATAGCAGAAGCAACAGCAGTCCTCTGTGCTGTATTCCCAGAAGTGCTGGATGACAACTCTGCAGTTTCCTATGGGCCAGTCTTGAAGTCACTACTTGAGGCATGTCCATACAACAATTGTAAACGCTTCAGTTAACATGACTGAGCAAGCCTGTACTCGTTAGCTTAACTATGGTAACCCGTGGTATGTGCACTCCTAGCCAACCACAACTGCTCTACTGTTAGCCTCGACATATTTTGAGTTTGAAATGGACTTGAGGTGAGCCCATGGTCAGCTATTGCAATTTAGCTGACAACTGATAATATAAAAGGCTCTATTTAACTCACTTCTTGCAATCTTGTGCACCCAGCCTCAGCTGTAACTCCCAGGGAATTTCTTGTCTGAATGAAGACTGCAAAGGTTGGCACCATCTCATTCTGTCTCTGCAGCTCTGCATTTTTGAAGTCAGTCCCATCACCATGACACCTAGGTATCTTTCTTTAAGTAATGTGCTAAGTAACATGTCTAACATCTATCATGTGGGGCTTTTTCTTTGTGGTTTATACTACCATTTGAGATGTGCACGGGGGAGAACCAGATATATATAAACCACTTTGTTTTAGCAGAATATTTAAAGTATGTGCTATTCAGAGGGATGCAAAAGGAGGAAAGGCTTCTCCTATTCCTTGCTTCCAAGGAAGTTTTTCTGCAGCCACTACATTGGATTTTCAACATCTTCAACTCATGAGGGTTAAAATGTTTGTGAACGTTCCCATGCACCTTCTACCACACTTCTTCATTACTGCAAGCACCAAAAGACTGGATAAGAAATTTTAACTGCCTACGTCAAGAGAGTCTTGAGAAGCAAAAAAATTCATCATTGTTTGCTGTTGCTTTTCTCTTTTTCAGCTGGAGCCAGTTGGTGAAAAGCAGACTTACAACAACTTTACCCTTGAAAGATCAAAACTCAAGTGTCCAAACCCAGTAAGTAAAGGCAAAGATGTCCTCTTCGTGAGTTACTTCTATTTTTCTCCTTTCTTCTCTTTAGTAAAGCTCTTTAAGAGAGTATCTTTGTGAAGGCTTTAAATAGCTGAAATAGACTCCTATTTTTGTTAGAAACAGAGAAATCTACCTAAGATTTAAGAGCAAAAAAATTATCCTCATTGCAGTGGAAATACTCTCATTTAAGTCAGTTCTAATGAGTCTATGTATTTCCATTTGATTGTCTGCAACAAGCAAATTAGGAAATGATGCCATCGCTCCTGATTCTGAGATGGCTTCTTTTTTTTTGTTCTAGGAAGTTTCAGGCAATAAAGCAGGAAAGAGTTTGGTCTAAGATAGAGAGAAGGCAGCAACAGCTGATGGTCTAAAGATCAATAATTCCTCTCTGTGAAGGGGCAGTGGCATATTGTTGGAACGATGCCTGTTGAGTGATCTGTGGCCAATAAAATCTTTGCTCTCCCTTTGTAGGAGAAGCCTTTTCTTTTCACGCGGAGAAATAGTGGATTTGGAAATTCAGACCTCAACTTGGAGAAATCTGAACCTTCAGTCCCCTACTGGGCTGTCATTGTGGCTGCAATAGCTGGAGTCCTGCTGGGTTCTTTATTTGTCCGCGCTGTGTCACGAAGAGGAACCAAGAAGTCCCAGCGTAAGACTGACATAGAAAAGGACATCAAAACAACCCCTCTGTAACACAAGTCAAACAAACATCTTTCTCTGGCTGCTCTTTGGTGTGACACAAACTAGCAGAATAAAAAACCTGTTGGACATCAATGAAGCTTCTTGGTTGCCCACGGATTTTTGGGCCCAATAATCTTAGTAAGAAATGTACTGTAAAGTTAACTTCTGCAGATCAGTCAGGTGGAGGATGAAGTTCTAGGTATGTTGTGGTTTAACCCCAGCTGACAAATAAGTGCCACACAGCTGCTTGCTCACTCCTCCCATTCCCCCTCAGTGGGATGAGGAAGAGAACTGGAAAAAGGTAAAACACACGAGTTGAGATAAGAACAGTTTAATAACTGAAATAAAGTGAAATATAATAACAATAACTGTAGTGAAATGGGAAAGAACAAAAAAGAGAGAGAGGAGTAAAACCCAAGAAAAACAAGTAATGCACAATACCATTGTCATCACTCGCTGACTGATGCCCATCCCATCCCCAATTAGTCATCAGCTCCTCCTGCCCTTCTTCCCCAAGTTTATATACTAAGCATGATGATTTATGGTATGGAATATCCATTTGGCCAGTTTAGGTCAGCTGTCCTGGCCTGGTTCCCTCCCAGCTTCTTCTGCTGGCAGAGCATGGGAAACTGGGAAGTCCTTGATGTAGAGTAAGCACTATTTAGCAACAACTAAAATATCAGTGTGTTATCAACATTATTCTCATACTAAATCCAAGATGCAGCACTGAACCAGCTGCTAAGAAGATTATTAACTCTACCCCAGGTGAAACCAGGACAAAGTCTTAAAGCTTTTTCATTCAGGGGTGCAATTCTCTGTTTTGTGAATAATACTTAGGATGTCAATTGCTTGCAGAAAGCAAGAAAACTTGTTGATGCATCTTGGCACCTTAATTGTGCATCTGTCCTTGTCTCTTTTAAAACTACATTTAACATGTTAGATACAAGTCCATGATTGCATCCTGGTGTTCTCTAATAGCAAGGTGTGAGACAAATAGCAGCTGCAATTTCACAGTAGATTCCAGCAAGACTATTGAGCTGAAGGTGCTAAGGTGATTCTACAGGAGCAAGTACAATGCCTTTGAAACATCTTTAAGCCAGCTTCTGAGCAACTTGGATCATCCACATGTCATCCCTGATCCAGTGCTGGGCAGCACAGAGAGAATAACTGCACCTTCTCCACTGCCTTGGACTCCAGGTTCCATCCATCTGGGACTGGGTGTGGAGCTGGGCCATGCCCATCACTTCTCCTCCAGGGGTAAATAGCCCAGGGGCAGTCCTGTACCTTCCTGCCCACCACTGCATGGCAGCTGGTTCCAGAACGACTCTTCCTGTGATAAAGGAATTTCTTCACTAGCATGCAGTACAGGGTCTAAACAAAAATGAGATACCTGTAAGCTTAGCCCTCCTTGCAGGATTTGTGTTCTGCTCAGGTCTCCCAGGGAGGAGAGTCCATGGCTGTTCTCCAAGGAAGAACTTTCAAAGTTAGTTTCGTTGGGCTTTTTGGTGTTTGTGGGGTTGTTTGTTTGTTTTTGTGGTTTTGTTTTGATTTTTGTTTATTTGTTTTTGTGTGGTTTGCTTTGTTTTTGTTTGTTGGTTGGGTTTTTTTGTTTGTTAAGAGACCATCTTTCCTGGAAATTAGATTTTCTTTGTTTTATACTTGCAAGCCAATTAATACAATCTGTTAGTACAAAAGATATTTCACAAGTTCCATGTGATCTTGTTTTCCAATACCTTTCTTATTTTCTGTGTCAAATACCTTACATTTTGATTTTATTGAAGCCAAAGTGTGGTTTGCACTGGTGCAATATTTTTGTGAAGCGCACTACATTTCCACTCCACAAATACAAATGAGTAGAAATTTAAAATGTTTCCAAGAAGAAAGTGTTCTGGGGTGCCTAAATCTACTCACTATGCATACAGAAGGTATTTAGACTCCTCCTTTTTCCATTTCACTTCTGTCATTGTCCTTGCTAAGATAAAAAGAGGTGGATAGAGTACAAGTTGTATAGTCAGGTTTCAGCAGCTGCAGTTCCATTCACCTCTTCTTTGATCTGGTTTCAAAGGTTGGGCTATTAATAGCAGGACTTTTATTTACCTAAGTCTTATCCACAGATGTGTGTCTGGGAGATCTACATGCAGTCCAAAATGCAAAACAGAACCACTTTGCATCTTGTTTCAGTGCAGCACAGGCTGCTCTTCCTGTCCCTGTCTTCACTGTGGGTCATTACTATCTCCCTGATCTCCCAACTGATGATATTTATTTTGCTCAGTAAATGAAAACAAACACAGCCTCCAACTTGCAGGAGACAAGGATTTATTGTATTCCAGTCCATTCCACAGCACGTATGCCTCAGACACGTTGGAAAATATAAGCCTCATAAGTGAGGAACCTGAGCAAATATCCAGTGGATCAAGAAGGCTACAATCTCCTTTCATCCTTAAATGTTGTTCTTGTAACTCCTCTTCCCGGCTGGGAACTTGGGTAACCACTGCTCATACAGCTCTTGGCTTGGGAAGAAGTAAAAAGATAATAGTTCTCTGCAGAACCTTTCATCAGTACCAGGTGTTTCAAAGGAAACTCAAAACAGTAGTGCAGTGCTGACTGACCTTTCTAAATCGTGTGCATGCAGGAAGTGGGGTAGGGGGTCATGGAGCATGAGTTAGAGCTACACAATCTCCCGGAGCATGAGTTAGAGCTACTGCAGTCTCTCATATCAGGTTTGTCCTGCCTAAAGGTGGGTACAAGTGCATCTTCATTCTCATGCTGGTGCCCCTTGCTAGAATAACTAAATATACCCTTTTCTCTCTTAGAAAGCTGAATTTTGTTCTGAGCTTCTAAAAGCTAAAACACAAGAAGTGCAGTCAGTTGAGAATTGAGAGGAAAGATGGCTCTTACCTTATTCACTATTCTGAAGGATTCTAGAGTGGAAATAATTCTTGTGCAGGAGCCTGGGTGATTCTGCTTTCGGACTGTATATATTCAATTCCCTGTGGTATTTAGCCCTGTAAGGAATGCTACCTTTACTGATGCTTTTGGGAACTGAAAAGCCATCAAACTTAAATTATATTGGCTCTCCTCTGCTAATGCAACAGGAGACTTTTCCCCTAGTTTCTCTAGCTGTGGTGTAGCTTTAATGCACTAGTACAGCAGGAGCAGGAACTGACGGGGTATGATTTAGTCTATGGAAGTATCTTCTGGCATCTTTCTTCTGTAGACTAAAGTGTGTGATGAACTGCACTGACATTTAAGAAAAAAAAATCAAGAATCATGCAGTTTGCAGCTGCTCCACAAGCAAAAATATTTCCCCCAAGATGTTCCTGCTGAGCATTCCCTGCATGCTTATTAAGCAGAGGTAACATTAATCTGGAGAGAATGACAAATTATTAGGTCTGGATCTTTGACTGCATTCAGTATCACATTAAATCAGGAAGTAATCTCTACATTTTATCCGTCAGTTGTCCATTCTTCCTTTTTTCCTGTAATGGCATGCCCTTGATTTCAAATGTCCTTATGGCATTTTGCCTTAGTGGACTGCTGTATAGGCCAGATTGCCTACTGATGCACAAAAGAAGAGAGGCTTAGAAGGAACTTCAAGTTTGTAGGGAAAAATGCATGAAATAGAGCCTTCTTAGCCCAGGATTTTGCTTTGGCCAGTGGTGGTCTTGCCCGTCACTGAAAAGCCTGTCTCTTCTGTGTAAAGAGATTTCCTAACATTCTGAGAGAACAGGCTTTGTGAATGTTTTCTCTGGAGAAAAGCCACAACTCAGCCTGCATGAGTGGTCATGGGGGGTTCTGGTCTTGCTGTCCAGCTCAGGTTGTCACAAAGGACATTGTGAGTAGATTTTGCCCTGTTCCCTGGTCTTAAGAAATAATCTGTTCTTCAAACAGGGAAATGATGGAGCCTGACGAGTGTTGGCAATCATTTGCCTGCAGCTTCAGCAGTTCTGGACTTTAAGGTCTGGCTGCTTTTGTTGCTGCTGATGGACCTTCCTCTTGTCATGGTAAAGTGTCTGTGTTTTGTTTTGTAAGGTCTAGGGTCAGTTTACCCCAAAATCCAGTTTAAGTGCCCAGAGAACTTAGGGAAAAGTGGAAAAATTCAGAAATCTGCGAGAATTTTGTGTGGCTTTGGAGACTGTTAAATATTTCCTCCCATCACCTTCTAGATGGTGAGATGTGTTAATGACATCATTTTAACAGCTAGGCAATATGTAATTGCCTGGGACATCTGGACAAGAATTTTGTTACTTTGAGGGGTATTTGGCTAAAATATTGAGGTGAAACAACCCCACCTGAAGAGAGGGGTATGGAAAAGCTATGGGTTTTTACAATTTTGCATTTGTGTGATTCATATTCCCTGAGGTATTTAAAAAAATTTGCTATTGGAGGAGCATAGGTTTGCAATGCTTGCTCTTTCCACTCCCTTTTTTTAGAAGGAAGGTATCTGGGATTTTGGGACAAGCAAGACAAAAATCTATCATCAAAGCAGCTCACAAATTACTTAAATGAAACAAGTTTTCTGGGTCTTATAGATCTTTGAGCATGACAGGAAGGGATGCTCCTATGAACCATTGCGTTAAAACTATTTCTGTCCCAAGTTTGCTTGGCCAGGGACCTGAGAAGCATCTATCGCACAAGTTTGTATCAAAAAAGGGGGTGTTGGAAGAAGGGAAAAAGTCTGGCACATATTAACTTAGAATATGCTGAGTATCTTCCTTGTAACTCTACTTGCCATCACTTAGCTTTGGTGGACACCAGAAGTTCCTCCATCTTTCTGAGATCAGTAGATTTCCCTTTCGCATTTTGAAACTCAACACTTTAGGCACACACCTGACTGAGATTATTAACTTTAGCTGCTTTTGATGATAGTCCTATCACAAAGCAAAAATTTTTCTGATTTTAACTGTATTGGAGAGAACAGTAGCCCAAGGGGAAAGACAGAAAAAGCCCGGAGCTTAAGCAGTTTTAGGAGACAAATCAAATGAAACACAGGTGAGCTTATTTAAGGGGTGGTTGGAACTACTCACTGGCTAAAAGCTGGAGGAAATTTCCTTATGTCTTTCCATTTCTCTGTAACTGTCATTCATGACAAAGTTATAACTACATTAAGGTACATGGATTTTACTGAGAAAATTTCATTTGCTGAACTGTCTGGGGTTTCCCTTATTGCAGGCCTTTGGCAGGATTTGTAGAAGTTGGGTGTGGAAATGTGCAAATGTCCTGTGGGATGAAGTATGGAATAATCCTTTTAATAATCCTTTTGGACTAGTGGTGATGCACGGACATGGCTCATTGAGAGGCAGTCAGGAATTTCTGCCACTGATCCATGGGCTGATCCTGGAGTGAGTTATTTCAGCTGGAGAAACCAAATTCCAAACCTCCCAGAGTGCCTTCTCATTGGTGTAAAATGATTATAGCTGTTAAGAAAAGGGGCCTGAGATCTTCAAAGTGTCTCCATCATAACCATCAAGGATTTTGTAAAAATTCCTTTTGGTGTTAAAAATTAGCTGTGAAGGAAAACCCTTCAGCTACCATTTGTGTTGCTTAGATGACTGGAAACACCACCTGAAGGCCTCAGTGGGCTTAGGTTGTGACAGGAGATAATCCCCATGGTGACAGTGTCCAGGGTTAGTCATCAGTGGTTCAGTTTAACAACAGCAGGGTAGCTGGGCCTTGGGCATTCCAGAAAAATATGTTTAATGCCTTTGCAGTGTGTGGATGAGGCAGAAAAGTATTTCCTGTGTTCTTGAACCAACTCGGTTTTGCAGGTGGTACCTCTGGTTAAAGACACAGGAATTGACCGGTTCAGCAGCTTTCCACCCACAAGGGATTTACCTGCACTTTCCAGGTTGCCCACAGGTATCCTCTGAATCAGCTTTCAGATCAAAGTAAAACACAGGAGTTAGGAATAAGCAGGGAGGACGCAGGTTCTGTTGTAGATTAGACAACTGAAATGATGGGTGCATCTTCTGAAAGTTTCCAGGACAGTCTCTCTGCTTAGCTCTCTCAGCAACCATCTCGTATTACTTCAGCATAAACTTTGGGACCTTCAGAAAGCTTGCGTGTCTGCGAGTAGAGCCTCAGGGGCCTGGAGGACAGCAGCTAACATCTCACAGCAAAACTGAGTGACTGTATCAATCATGTAGTATCCCCGAGTATTTGTCCCAGACCCTCTGGGATCTGAGGTGCTGACCAGCTGTGGTACCCTGTGATACCCAGGCTGTGAATCCCAGGCAGCCTCAGGTGGAAGGCAGACAGTGAGACGCTCACCACAGGCAAGGAAAAAAACACCTCTGGGAAGAGGCAAAAGCAGAACTTCAGGTGCTTTTTAAGTCCAAAACCAAAGTTCAGCATGTACTCTGAAGGAATGATATGGGACTTTGTGGAAGATAGTTAACAGGATTAGACATCCGTATTGCATCACCATCTACATAAGCTTCTTGTGCATCTGGGCTGAAACTTACACAAATACCACTCAGCCTTTGACACAACATTTATCTATCACGTACTTGTTTTGTGGCATGAGCTG